TCGTGCGTCATGTCTTGGTAGTTTAGGAGCCTAAGCAGGGTTCCGTACGGCTTTTTCAGGGGTCCACAAGAGTTCCGTGATATAGCAACCTGATAACTAGAACAGCGTTTTGGTGTATGATAGCATAGTTAAAACAGGAGCCCAAGGAATACGGTTGGTAAGTATACAGGCCCTTAAAGAATATCCGCCAATAAGCAGCCAAAGAGTAGATCTGCAGTGCCACCGCACCGGTGTCTGCCAGAGGAATCTCTTGAGCCTATTGATTTTGGATCTACCTTGAACTACCAATATCTACCTTTTGTGTAGATTCTTACCATAAACCCTGAACTGGGTTCTATAGGGAGCCGGCAACAGTAGGTTTTGGTAGGCTAAGGTAGGGCTTTAGTCTTACCCATAACTCGCAGACATCCTCAGCAACTTTTGTTCGTTAGGTCCTACTACTGCCACTACGGAAGGCTGTTGTAGCAATGGTGGCAACTGCGACTGCTGCTCTTATCGTAGGGTTTAGGGTTGATGGTTCGCTCGCCAGTCAACCCAAGCCATGCGCATCGGAAAGGGTTTGGGCCAGTCGGGTTTTGCCAAGGTGTTGATGAATGTGGTTGCCAGCGAGATCAAGGTGCCCCATGCTTGTGGTTTAAGCTTTAGCGTGTCAGAGTTTGAAGCGGCCTGGGGTGTGGAGCATGGTCGAAACTGAGAGCATGTGGTAACGGAAACGACAGAGGATCAGCATGAACACAGCCACGAGAAAGTATACTGATAATGGAGATGCTAACCGCATCAGCAGGGACGACAACAGCAATAGCGACAGTAAACATGCCATCGCTACAATTGCTCAGCCCCGGGCTCCACCCTGGCACCCCGTCCCGGCACCCCGTCCCGACACCACTCGGGCGACGCGGGCGACGGCGACGACGAAAATCATTGCAAGAACAGTGGTGCTTGCAATGGTGGGAACGGCAACAGACAGATTAACAGATTGAACAGTAGTCGTGGTGAACAACAAGTGTCTAACTTGTCCTGAGCATCCGTATGCAGATATGTGCTGTACATATGATTGTGATGCTGATATTGGGCATGGTGATAATAGTTCTCAGATGACTTATAACTCATGTGAGGGGACTCATAACCCTACTTAAACTACCCATGAACCTCCAAGTAAACCCGAGCAGCCCTAAACTCTAACAGAGGGCCGTGGGGTATGGGTGAAGTTGGGTCTCTGTTGGAGCCCGTAGCGGACTTCGCCACGAAACCAGGTCCAATGACAGAATACCACAGTTGCCACCCTCCAAACTAACTAACTAACTTTGTTCTGGTGCCGGCAGCCCCCGAATCGACAGGACACCACTGTGAGCCCCTCAAAACAAAAGGAGGGGCGGCCATGTAACACTCCAATGCAAAAGTCTTCGTCGTCCCTAATCTTGCTTCTCGATGATCCAGCATCGATTTGCAGTGAAGTCAGCGAAATCATGATACTTCCATGAAGCTTGAGTGAGAAGCTGTTGACATGTCGTGTCCTGCCGCAGCAGGGCATATTTACACGTGTTGCCACGCCGTAAGGTACAAGTATGCCCTCACCTCAAATCGTTAAGCCCTAACCCTCACCCAAAAAGCTTGAGCCCCCAACCCGAAAATCCCAAAGCGGCAAACCCTTAAGACCCTAAACCCCCAAGCGATTGCAGCCCGTTCTGGATTCTAGCTAAGGAATTTCGGAGCTGCCTTCTTTGAAGTTACCAGAATCGGGATCTAAAGAGAGTAGCAAGGTTTGATAGGGTTCTCTTGCTACTGTGTAGGGACTCAACCCTAGAGGGAACTCCAGAAAGTTGGAATATGGATTAATGGTAGGATCCCCCATAATTTACCTTAAAGGGGTTACGATAATGATATTCCAACTTTCTGGCTTCTACTGTAGACCCCCAAACCCCGAAGCCCCTTTCAAAGGTCGGGCGGCTGCGTTTGGTGCGATCAGCCTTTGAGCGCTCTGATCCCACCGGTAGTCGTCGGCCCAGCCACGGTTTAGGGTCTAGGGTTTAGGGTTTGGGGTTTAGGGGTTTCGGGGTTTCATCGCGTTTAAAATTTCTATTACAGTAATAGGTATCTGCAACCATAAACCCTCAAAGGGTGTTAACAGTTGCGATAGGGTTTCTAAACGGGGGTCTTAGCAGGGTTCCATACGGGCTTTATGGGTAGGCTTCGGTCTGCGAATACGGCCATCGGGCCTAGGGTGTTCGAGTTTTGGGAACGGTTTCGCAGGGCTTTAGAAGGTTTTCATGGCAGGGTTTTATAGAAGGATGTTACAGGGTTTTGTAAGTTTTAGATTTCAGTGTTTGAGAGGAGGGGTAGATGTAGAAGAGGGGCCTTCCACAGAAAGATACATGATGACTGCCCACCGGAACCTCGCTTCCCACCATGCTTTCAACAGCCAAGTGTTAGTGAGGCTTTAGCAGGCTTGCAGTGTTTTGTGGAAAGGCGAATCTCTTTCCGTGTCATTTAGAGCTATGATCCAGGAACGCCGTAGGCTCAACGAGGGCCACGTCAAGATCCGATAATCATGGGAGGTCATCAATGGTCCAGCACCCTTGTGCCCCTCCCGCCTCCATGGTTGTGGATGTGGGTGTCGAAGTGACAGGTTCTTTAAATCCTTTATGAGACCTTCTTTTTAGTAAGATGGGATGTGGGGTTCATTGTGGGGGTTATAGGGTCTGTTACGGTCTGTTGGGTAGACATACCGCGGCTTCTGGGCTTGGGAAGCAGCGAAGCCTAAATAAACCCTGTACGCTTTCTTTGTTTGGAGCACCTCTAAGCCCTATAAGCCTTGTTTGGTTTGGGTTTGGGTATCCACAACTCGCGCAACTTTGTAGTGGTTTGGGGTATAAGGGCTCGAATTATTCAGAAAAGGGCTAGGGTTTTTGGGGTTTAATGTAGCAAAATATAATGGAACCCTGAGGAATCGTTTTGGTAATTACCCAAGCCTTATATTACTCAGAACCCTAAACCACCAAAACTAGATGACCAAAATCCCGTTCTTCCCAGGTGGCTACGTTCCTAGTTCTGCTCTGCAGGCACTTGGTACGTAGGGCTTTCGCTTGGGGGCATTGGGATTCATGGCCTAGTAGTAGTTGAATAGAGGTAATTAGTGTACTAGCGGTGTTGCTGTTGCTGTTGTTGTTGTGGCTGTTGTTGTGGATGATGGCGGTGGTAGCAAAACTGCTGGTAGTAGTGGTCGTCGTACGTACATTCGTACCGCTAGCCCTCCTCCTACTACTGCTACTTCCGCTGCTCCATCATGCTGCTCGTTTACTCCTACTACAGCGACGACTACTGCTACTGCTACTGCTACTACTGCTACTACTGCTACTACTACTACTACTACTACTACTACTACTATTACTACTACTACTACTACTACTACTACTACTACTACTACTACTGCTACTACAACTACTACTGCTACTACTACTCCTGATGCTGCTGCTGCTACTAGTACTAGCACCACGACTTCTGTTGCACACTATTGCTGTCGTCTTTGGCACTTTTGATGTTGTCGCTACTACTGCTACTACTACTACTACTACTACTACTATTACTACTACGACTACTACTACTACTACTACTACTACTACTACTACTACTACTACCACTCCTACTACTACTTCTACTACTACTACTACTACTACTACTACTACTGCTACTGCTACTGCTACTGCTACTGCTACTACTACTACTACTACTACTACTACTACTACTACTACTACTACTACGACTGCTACTACTACCACAACAAAAGCAACAACAACAACTACTACTACTACTACTACTACTACCACTCCTACTACTACTTCTACTACTACTACTACTACTACTACTACTACTACCACCGTGATTACACACTGTTGCTCTCGTCTTTGCTAGTGTTGATGTTAGTTGAGACTTTCTCCGCTTCCACCTTGACCGCCGAGTTATCGCCATGTCAGGTCGTCCTGTAGTCATCTTCCGCCTTGTACTATCCTCGCAGCTCTTACTTTGTCTAACGATTATGACTATGAGGATGATCGTGGTGACGATGACATTGGTGACCGTGGTGTTCAGCATCAGCATCGTCGTCATCATCGGCATCGGCATCAGCATCAGCATAATCATCGGTATCGCTTCAGCGTCAGCTTCAGCATCAGCATCAGCATCGGTATCCTCGTCATCATCGTCATCATCGTTATCATCATCATCATCGCCGCCACAATCATCATCATCGTCGTCATGATCATCATGGCTTTGGCTGCATTGCCCAGCAAATCATGGCCGTTTAGTTGTGGTTGCTTTGCGCCATTTTTCCTTCCTTCGGTCCACCATCAACCCTTCGCCCTAAACCCTAAACCCTAAAACCCTAAACCCTAAACCCCTAAATCCTAACCCCTAAACCCCTGAACCCCAAAGCCGAGAGCTTTTGCATTCTTCACGGGAATCCCTGGCTTCTGCAGGGTGCCTTGAAGGAGTTGGGGGTCTCTGCCGGGCGCACAGGCAGTTCCAAGTCAGTATGTCAGTATGTTTGTATATGCATACATGCATCCATGTATGCATGCATCCATGAATGCATACATGCATACATACATACATACGGACAGACAGACAGACAGACAGGCGGGCAGGCAGGCGGGGAGACAGACAGACAGACAGATGCATGTATGCAGGCATGGATGCGTGTAGGTATGACATATGCAAACAGCACCATCCATGCCTGTTTAGGTGTATGGCAACGCGTGTTTTCGCTTCACCTGCAACCAGGTCAAACCGGATTTGTGCACAAATCGGGATTCTCCTGGAATTTGGGTTTAACCTGCAGGCCTCAGGAGAACCTGAGGCATAAACACCCAGACTCACCGAAAAATGTGCCTGGAAGCACTAAACTAAACTGTATCGGGAACCCTTAAACCACTCTTTTTCGGCTCCCAGCCCCTGCTGCCCCCGCCGTGCGCGATGTGTGGTGGGGCGGAGTGCCAGGGGCAGCCATGGCAGAGGTGCGCGATTTCTGGTTTGTAAGGGTGGAAATTAGGGTTCCCCCAAGCCCTTAACTCTACAATCCCTGGTTGGGGGTTCAAGGTTTTAAGTCTTGGGATGCACGATTTTGTTTGTCAGGTCAGGGATGTATAGGGTTCAGGGATTGTCCCTAAAGCTCCTACACCCCAGGCACTCAATAAAGCCTCGACCAAGAAGCCTTATCCCTATAGAACCCTGAGAAAGAAGCCGGAAACAAGCCAAACGATCCGGTAGTCGTCGATCAGGATGTGGGTAGTTCTCTAAGTTAGGGTCCTTTTCACGTACAAGGGTGCCATACTGTTGTTGAGACCTAGAAAGGGACCCTCATGTAGAGAACTACCCATATGGTGCCCTTTTGGAAACCCTATAGTTAGATTTGCACATCTGGAGGTTGACATAGAGGTTCAGTGCTGGCATGGCATGATGAAAACCCTTAACCGTCGCGGCCGTAGTTTACTGCTTAGGTTTAGGGTCACGAGGATATAGGGTTCAGGGTTTAGCAGCGTCTGCCAGTGGATAAAGGTTCAGACTATGCAGTTGTCGAAATCTCTCAACTCATGATACATAACCCTTAAACCCTAAACCAAACCCTAAATCCTTACACCCTACCCTCAAACCCAAAAAACTAATTTCTTTCTCAGATTTTCGCCAGAGTCTCTGAGGCCTGGACAGAGTTTTCGATCAGCAGAGTTTTCAATCAGCTTCTTCCGTCTTCTCGTAAACTAAATAGTTGGTACAGTATACTATAAGGTATTGCAGCATGCTGTAGTAGAATGCGATAGTAGTTGAGATGTTATTCTACCGTTGTAATCATGGCCTTTAGCCGTTACTTGAGCTAGCAAGTAAAGCTCCATGCAGGGCGACAAATGCGACATCACCATTTGCAGAGGGACTGCGGATTCTGCAAAGACCTTCACGCTGAGGCTTGGCTTGACTGTACGCCCGGAGATTTGGGGCATTGGCAGTGGTAGTGACAGTGATACTGGTGCTGCTGGTAGTAGCAGTAGTATTAGTGTTTAGTATTAGTGGTAGTAGTAGTAGTAGTAGTAGTAGTAGTAGTAGCAGTAGTAGTAGTAGTAGTAGCAGTAGTAGTAGTAGTATTAGTAGTAGTAGTAGTAGTAGTAGTAGTAGTAGTAGTAGTAGTAGTAGTAGTAGTAGTAGTAGTAGTAGTAGTAGTAGTAGTAGTAGTAGTAGTAAGTAGTCGTAGTGCTACTAACTACTACTACTACTACTACTGCTACTACTGCTGCTGCTACTACTACTACTACTACGACGACGACTACTACTACGCCTACGACGACGACGACGACTACTACTATACTACTACTACTACTACTACTACTACTACTACTACTACTACTACTACTACTACTACTACTACTACTACTACTACTACTACTACTACTACTACTACTACTACTACTACTACTACTACTACTACTACTACTACTAGTATTACTACTACGAGCACTGCTGCTACGACTACTACTGTACTACTACGACGACGACGACTGCTACCGCTACTAGTTCTAGTTCTAGCAGTATTGGTAGCCTTCGTCGTTGTCGTAGGGGTAGCAGCACCAGTAGTAAACATCCAGGTTGAAGCAGCAAGATTGTTCAGCATCAGCAACATACGGAGGGTTCATGGGTCAGCGTTGCTAGTGGTTTGTTTTGTTTTCAGAAGCCCCAAACCTCTAAGCAACAAGCCCCAAACCCTAAAAGCCCCAAACCCGTAAACCCTAAACCCACCCTGGACCCCTGAAGCCCGACCCCGTCCCCAAACCCCAAAGCCCGAAGCCCTAAACCGGCCGCAACCAAGGAGCGTGGGCGGCGTGCTCAGAATAGGCAGCGACGACCGTCGCAGTTCGGGTTTGGGGCTTCGGGTCTCGGGATTCTAGGGTTTGGGGGTTTAGGGATGAGGGTTGAGGGTTTAGGATATAGACCACGCTGGTTTGACGGTTTAGGTTTTTGAGTCATTGAGGCTGCAGTTTCCTCACACTGGTGGTGATCACAGCATGAGCAGTATGGCGGCATTTCGACAAATGATATCAACAGTACTCATCATTATCAGAACAGCACTCGTCATGGCGGTTATCAACCCTAAACCCTAAACCCCCAAACCCTTAACACCAAAACCCTAAGCCCTAAAACCCTATACCCAAAACCCTAAAGCCTAAACCCTTACCCCTAAACCCTAATTTGGCTACAAGGTCCCTTTCGGGGCCGGGCATGGCTTGCAATAGGCCGCGGAGTGGCGAATGACGTCGTTCTGGACTTCGATGGCGTTTCCGTTTACCATGCGGAGATACATTGTCAGATGCATCTCTCGATTCAGCGTTTAGGGTTTAGGGTTCAGAGTTCAGGTACCTTGGCATTGGCTTTGGTTGGAGCTTGGTTTGTTCGGGTAGCTTAACTCAGGGCACATGTTTAGTTCGTGGATGCCACGCCTGCTCTCCTGGCTCTATGGTCGCAGCTGTGAAACTCTTGGGTCCTGCTATAGGGGCCTCAATAATTACTCATCGTATTTTGGGGTTCATGGTTATAATCGTAGTATAATGCGCCCAAAACCCTATTCTGAATATTTAGACCCCTGCATTAACCAGCATCTAAACCAAGCTCAGGAAAAGTGCAACTGGGCAGCTGCTGTGTATCCGGGATGAGACACCTTGGCTGCAAAAAAAGCTGTTGCTGATTCTGCATTCTTTTGCTCAGGTTTTTGCTGCAAGTGATGGGTATTGATGGCGGTTTCGTGGAGTTGGAAGGCACACGTGCCGTCACCTTGCTGACCAAGGTCCCGAAATGGTACAGCTGTTCGTGCTGGTCCCCATGCAGAGACACCCAGCAACGCATGGGAGCCGCTGAAGATGCTTTGCTGTTCATGGAGCCGCATCGTAAGCTTCGTTTTCGTAGAGAATGCGGGCTTGAGTGTATAGGGTGCAGGGTTAAGGTTTAGGGCACCGACGACCGAGGTTTGCGGCCTTGGCTGAGGCTGTTCGTGTGTGATAGATTCCCATTCTCTCAGCCTGCCTCCATCAGGCCTCCAAGGGACGCCGCAGAAGAATCCCCCCAACTTGACACTTTGGATTCAAGCTGCCTGGTGATCTGTCGGATCTGCCTTTCTGAGAAAGCAACCTTCAACTTATTTCCGCAGCATAATCCATATGTAATTCCAGTGGGTTTGAACGTTGGTTCCCCTACGCCCCGCGCACTGGAGCAGAAGGCCTTGAGGTTCTGAGTTCTGCAAAGCACATGATGTGGTGGGTCCTTTTGCCGTGCCATTGTTTGCCCCGAACCCTAAACCCTAAGAATCACTAAAACCTAAAATGTTGCAGTTGCTGTTGTTGTTATTGTGCTGCTGCTGCTGCTGCTGCTGCTGCTGCTGCTTCTGCTACAACTCCTGTGATCGTCGTCGTATGTCGTCGCTGTCTTACTTGGTTCATCTGACTACAGCTCGCGAGTTTGATCTTGCTCTGTTTGGTTAGCCTAAACCCCAAACCCTACTTACACTTCCCATGTTAAGATGCCAAGGAAAGGAGCGTTGCGCATCCTTCCCCACGGCTTCTTGGGCGTAACATAGACCCAAAGCCCTACACTCCGAGCTGGGTCTTGGGTTTAGGATTTAGGGGTGTAGGAATTTGTATGCAAACCCTGAGCCCTCAAGTAAATCCGAAACCCCACACCCTGTGAAGCTTTCAGTTGGCGAATCCGAAGTGATGCCGGCATGCCAAAGGTGCCTGAACAGTAGAGATACGGCATTAGAGGTATGATATGTTGTGGCATAACTAGACGACAGAACCCTAAGCAGTAATGTTGTCAGTCATTCGTAAACCTGAGGACTGCCATCCCGATTCCCCGTTCGGAGTTTGATGAATGGGTCTTCAGCACAACGTCTCCCGGTTTGTGAGGGTAAGGCAGGGTAGAGTAGGATAGGATGTGGTAGGGTCGGTTTCGATTTTCGGTGTCCTGATTGCGTGGGCTTTTGCTTTGCTAAGCATTTTCAGTTGCGAAGCGACTCGGTCGTAGGCCTTAGGCAAACCATCAAACCCTAGACGCACTTATGAAACCATACACAGTCTAAACCTACTGTAGTTAAACGTGACACCCGATACCCCATCCGCTTCACCGCTTCCAGTGCTTCATGGCTTCTTTAATTACATGGTCAAGGCTGGCAGATCCTAATGCCGCTAAACAGCCGGAAGAACACCAAGCAGCTTGTTATTTCGGCGCGGCTGCTGAGCATCTATGTTGGCAGCCAAGTCCCTGTCGGCGGGACCGCCGAGGGTTTGAGTTTTGCTCCTTGGGTTTGGGCTGGAAGGTCGGGTTTCAGTATAACGAGGTGGTTTCTGCCTGTTTGTGGACTGTTGTTACATGCCCGCTAGTGCAGTGCTAACTCTTGTGTTTCCAGTCTTGCATTGTTGTTGGTTGTCTCATGGCACATGCGATTGCCCTTACTGCTCATACAGCACCTTACACTGAACTGGAATACGTTATCGCTGTTCCACAGGATGAGTGTCCGCCACGGCTATACATGCTTACAAGCATACATACAGACATGCATACGTACATACATACATACATACGCACATATGTCTACATACATACAGACATGCATGCAGACATGTATGTATTTATGTGTTTTGTGCGCGCGTACGTATGTAGCTATGTATGTAATTTTGTAAGTTTGTACGTATTCTTTTTAAGTTTCTATGTGGTCATTTAAGTCTACATACCTTTCGTATGTAAACACATCTAAGAATATGTCTATGTGTATATGTGTATGTATATGTGTATGTATATGACTGTATATGTATATGTATGTGTATATTAACGTGTATATATATATATATATATATGTGTATATTCATATACTTATATGTATATGTATATGTACGTGTATATGTACATGTACATTAATGTATATGTATATGCATATGCACATGTATATGTATATGTATACGTATATTAATGTGTGTATATGTATATGTATATGTATATGTATATGTATATGTATATGTACATGTATATGTATATGTGTATGTGTATGTGCATGTGTATGTGTATGTGTATGTGTATGTGTATGTATATGTATATGTATATGTGTATGTGTATGTATATGTATATGTATATGTATATGTACATGTATATGTATATGTATATGTATATGGATATGTATATGTATATGTGTATGTGTATGTGCATGTGTATGTGTATGTGTATGTGTATGTGTATGTATATGTATATGTATATGTATATGTGTATGTATATGTATATGTATATGTATATGTGTATGTATATGTATATGTATATGTATATGTATATGTGTATGTATACGTTTATTAATGTATATGGATATGTATATGTATGCATATGTATATGCATATGGATATTAATATATATATATATATATATGTATATGCATATGTATATGTACATATGTGTACATATTTGAAAAGTATTTGCGTGAATTAATGTCGTATAGCTATCGGTCTCATGGTTCTTCTCCTTCTTATGCTTGTCGGGACTCTGATTGAATGAAGCCAGTGTTAGGACTCGAGGGTGCGACCGTCGCCTGATGGCCAGCATATGGAAGTTTCCGAAAATTAGGGGTACCTTATTTGGGCTCCTTTAATAAGGATCCTCCTATTTAGGGTACTATATAGGGTCCTTTATCTTCGGAAACTCCCATGTGCACTGCTTTTGGAGGACCGAGGATATGGCTTTCCCCCTGCACACGCACAAAGTCTTTTCGGCTGGAAGCGCAGTTCTTCATCGAAATGCAGCGTGGCAGCTACACCCTTCGGGGGATGTGCTTGGGGTTTAGGCTTGGGGCTTAAAAAGTCTAGCCTCCCATCTTCGGAGTCGTCCGACGCTGAAGGGCATCCTATCGGCACCTCAGACCACCGTCTCGCCGAACTTCCTGGGCCTTAAGGGAGACCCAGCTTGGGGATCTGGCGTCTTGGTTCTAGGGCCCTTTTTTCCCGGTCCTATAGCGGATTAGGGTTGAGGTTGTGTATGTAGTGTGTGCGCGGTGGGTGCGCTTCTTTACAAATGGGGGTGCACCTTCATATAGGGGAGCTTGCGTCAGCATATAGTCCCGTCCAGCCACCCCACCTGTTCTCACCCAGGGCTTAACGTTCACCCCCCAAAAGCCGCTCAAGGGGGGCTTTTTTGCTCTTTGCATCGTTTTGCATAAAATGAGCGTTTCACCACAGCTAGGATGGATTGGTGTCGGCTGCTCGACGACAATCGCTCGAAGTGTAGACACCGACCCTGACAGAAAGCGCCGCAGAAGCTTTGGGAAAGATTTTGACAGTGGCCCTTCTGCGCGCCGCTAAGGGTCCAGAAGTGGAATCTGCCAGCCCAAGGTTCCAGACTGGCACAACCCGGTTTGCGGAAATTGGGCAGGGTGGCCTCCTGAATCTGTGTTTTGGGTCATGTTTTCTTAAAACGCCCTCAACAGTGAGGGATTTGGGGTCATTCTTTACTGGCTGACGTCAGGGAGGTCATTAGCGGGGCGGCGTCACGACAGTCCCCGTATACCGGGAGGCTTTACCTCCCCTCACCGTTCTGACGAGACGCTCGGCCGCGGGCCCTCGGTCAGAGCCTCGAGCGCTCATGCAATTGGTCAAAGGCGCTCTAGGCAGTTTATGCTTGCTTGCTCTGCCTGCTGCTACAAGATTTACCGCAACGACTCCTGCTGCAGCTCGTGGAGGCAACGACAGTGAGCGCCATCCTGATCCCCGTGAAAACTGGAGCAGCAAAACAAACAAGGTTAAAACAGGGTAACCGCGCCTGTAGTGCGCCTTGTGTTTTTGCACACTGTCTGTTGTTGCACATCGCCTGCACATCGCCAAAGCCCTGGGAAAACGCAGTATTCCCAGCAGAACGCATGCAGTAGGAGGGCCCAAAACAGACTGTATTGTTGGAGGTTTACAGCGCTAAAACCCAGGTCCGGTTGCGTTTTGCGCGTAAACCCCAAAGGAAACTTGTCAGGCTTTACACTTCTGGCAGAGGCCGGCCAAAGCAGCATACGGATCCTTCTGGACTCGTCGCCACTGGAACTGGTAAAGGTAGGACCACAAACCCTTCTGGTTGATGGGCTTCTGTGTTCCTTTCTTTTCTTGGTGAAGATTGTTTTGGGGATGCTGGCTTTCACATGCTGCCATGTCCTATCTATCTGTGGTGTCCCTTCAAGGGACGACCCATTGGGACGTGGTTTGCGTCCCAGTGGGCGCGTGAAGACAGAGTTCTTGTGCTGTACATGCGTGAACACCAGCAGGGCCTGTGCACTGCGGAGCCAAGTGTCTCGCAGGCATGACGCCGCGTTGTTGTTTACATGAACGTGATTACCCCCCCCCCCCCCATCCCTCCGAAACCTTGAAAACCTCCAAAAGTGCCCTGAACGCAGGGTGCGTTAGGGGCGCTGTCACCTAAAACAGGGTGTAGGGTTTAGGGGTTTAGGGTTTCGGGTTTATGTTTTTTTAATCATGTTCAGGGTTTAGGTCTCTTGTTTGGGGTTTGGGGTTTAGGAGCATTGCAAAGCCCGAAAGCCGGCAAGAAACTTTGGATGATCTTGTTGCCCTTCCACTTTCGACGTGTACCGCATCATCACGGAGCCCGAATACATAAAAACCTGACTAGGAACCGGTTGTTGTTCTGTACAGTTCCCTGATATACTTGTACTATACTGGAGTCGACCCAAGACTCCTATTGAAATGATTAAGGCAACTACATGCTGAAACTTCCAAAAGCCCTCTATTGCGCCTGCTGCTGCTCTGGCTGCTGCAGACTTTTTCGTTGTTCTTGTTCTTGAGACTTTGGAACACTCTGCTTGGTGATTTTTGCCACCCCGCACTTCAAACTGCTACTGCCCTAGACCTTAAACCCGCTGAACTTCTAAACTCAAATCCCTGCACCCTAAAACCGCTGAACCCTGGACCCGAAACTCAAGACCTTCCAGCGCACTTTCCTAGTGGGCTGAATATCCGAAGACAGGTAAAGCCGCTGCCCGCCGCATCCGAGCCGGTAGAGGTTGTGGACGAGGCCTCTCGCGCAGGGTTGAGGGTTTAGTTAGGCTGTAGAGTTGGAGGTTTACGGTTTAGGCCTGTGATTTTCGTGTTTAGACGGTTTAAAGTTAAGGCAGTTTAGGGTTTAAGATGCCCTTCTGCAGTTCAGACTGTGTTTGAGACAGGTTCAGGCTTGTTATCATGACGTAACGAATATTCTCAGCTATTTATAAGCAAAATGGCTTGGCGAAGGTAATATGGTTTAGTGAAGGTTCCTTACTATCAGAAGGTGTAGGACGGTGTAGGGTTTCGTCCACAGCTTGTTTGGGGATGTTCACCGTGCCATCAGGCTTTATGATTTCTGCTTGCAGAAAACCGAACATCAGGAACAGCGACCAGAACCAACTCTGTCAAGAGTCCCTATTGATACTGCAGGCAGAAAGAGGAGAACGCGAAGCAAACAGAAAGCATGAAGCTCGAACCCGAAACATTTTAGTTCGAATCCCGAATGCCTGAGCTGCAAGCATCCGGACTCCAACCTCAGCCTTCGCCTCTGCCAAGGATGACAAGGCAGGGCGCAAAAAGAAGAAGGACAGGGAAGAATGACTGACTTCAGGGTTTACGGTTTAAGGTTTATAGTTTCAATTTTGGGGGGGGAGTTCCTTCGCCACGCTCGGTGTCATTCTCGCTGATGCTGAATCTCAGCTTCCTGGTACCCAGCCCGTGATCTTCTGATTGCACTGGTGCCCTGAAACCAACTAAACCCCCAAGCCCAAGACTCATATCCAGTTACTCTTAGTGTCCTCCTTGAGGACAAGAAAGCTAAACGGCAGCCAGCTGAGGAGGATTCCGAAGGCATGCCCGAAGCATTCAGGTCTAGTGTAGACGCTGATCGATAAGCCCTGTCTGTAAGGGCTTTAACCTTAAGGGTCCTGATTATGATCCTTGTTGATGGAGGCGGTTGACCGTATGCTTGCCTACGAGCCCTGCAGGCCCGCACGTTAAGCAAGCTAAATCGTGTGCCTTGAACAAAGCCCACAGCCACAAAACTATCTGCTTAGCCCTCTAGCCCTAATCCCCAAAAGCTTATGTTCTGAAGCTACAACCCTATATCCCGAATAAACCCTAAACCCTCTGGCCCGAAACTCTAAGACCGAGAGAGAGAGAGAGAGAGAGAGAGAGAGAGAGAGAGAGAGAGAGAGAGAGAGAGAGAGAGCGAGAGAGAGAGAGAGAGAGAGAGAGAGAGAGAGAGGGAGAGAGAGAGAGAGAGAGACAGAAAGACAGAAATAGGCAGACAGAGAGAGAGAGAGAGAGAGAGAGAGAGAGACAAAGAGACAGATAGCTAGCCCCCGCAAGTGTTAGTTTAGGGTTTAGGGTTCAAGGTTAGGTCTTAGGGTTTACAGGGGTTAAGGGTTTAGGTTCAAGGGTATGTCTTAGGGTTTATAGGGCTTGAGGTTTAGTACGGGTTTAATTTGTGTTCCTCCCAAACCCCAAAACCGTGGTTCCGGGTTGAGGGTTCTTTCTGGATGCTTCTGCGCATGGAGGGTGGTTTTATTCTGGCTGTGGTACGGAAACTCTTGAAGGTTGTTTCGCCAAGACATGCTACGCCTTCCTGCTTCCCCCAAAATTCGGGTCGGAACACTCAGTGGTACTAGATACCCGTAGAGGGTTCCTATGATTGTAGTGCTGATAGAATCTTCCCAACCAGGACCCTCCAAGTGCCCCTTATAGCCCTTGATAGTGGGTATTGAGGGTATATTAGAGGGTAGTTGGGGGGTCTAGGAACACCCCTAGTTTAATCATTAAGGCTGAGGCCCCTGTATTGCTTCAGTTCCGGCCTCAAGGTCTCGGCTCTCCCTGCCTTGTCTGTGGGTTTAGGGTTTAAGTAAGGCGAATCCGTGATCCTGCTTGGAGGTTCAGGGGTGGTTATAAGTAGGGCTATAAACGGTTATAAGCCCCGTAGTATGAGTTATAATTAAACTACTTATAACCCCACTTATAACTGCCCATGCTAAACCCTATGCTCTTGCAGAATCCCTATAGATCCCTTTAAAGGGACCCTTAAAGGAACCCTTATAACTACCCATAAACCTCCAAGTGAGGCAAGAGGAAGAAGAAGAAGGACAAGAAGCGGAAGCCTGCAGAGACAGTGGATGTGGAGGAGCCAGCCACCGGACGAAGTTGGGAAAAGCTTACGTTTGGACAGTAGGGAATGGAAGAATGGTAGTAATACTAGCAATAATTGTACCCCAAACCTCCATTCCCTACTAACCAAAGGTCAGAAAGGGGCTAAAAACTGAAACTAGGTATTTGGGTCGAGTATGTAAGTAGATATAGCTTATGTCGGCTGTACAGATTACGGATTTGTAGAGGCTCCTTCCCTTCTGGAACTAATTATACGAGTGCAGCATAATGGAGAAGAAGTGTGCCTGATGGTACGGTGCCATGCTTCAGCACAATATGTGTGATCCACATTTTTTATTTTTCGTTACGACCTTCCTATTCGAGGTGCCAAACATATCTCGAACATCCCTGTAGAATGCACAGCAGGGGTTAGGGCTCGAAATTCCAGACAAGCCTTCAGGCACAATTTTTTCTCCTTATCTCCCTTGTGCCAGGATCCCCGATCCGGTTAAGCAAGCAACCCCGATCCCTAAACCATGCATCCTCTACCCTAGCTTCTAGACTAATTAACACATCGTTCACCAGGATTCTCACAACCCTCGGACACTGCAACCCAGACCTCCAGCACTGGAAAACCCAGGCAGAACTGGGATATGCGTGGAAGCGCCGCAAAGAGAAGCGGCGGCGACTGGCCTGGGTGTCAGGATTTCGGGATGGAGACTTTGGCGGTTTCGGGGGGTAGCGTCCACGGCTTGGGTATAAACATGCCTAAGCTTAAACCCTAAACCCTAAACCACAAACTTCTGGAAGTTTCGAGCTCCGCTACTCCAAGTGTTTTCGGCCAATACTACTTGGGGGTTCCTTATTGTAGCAGTCAAAGTAGAGTGGGCCCTAAACCCCTATTCTGATTATTAAGGCCGCTATATTAAACGCCCAAAGCCTATACCTTAAGGGTCAAATTAGTAGGTTCTGACCTCTTAATTATAGGAGAAAGCCCCAAGAGCAGTAAGTTATGCTGGACCCTAAACCTTATTGAAGCCCAGGTTGGGCTAGTAACTCCACACCCGAAACCCGAATTCTCCGAGGCCTGCTGCAACGTCACAAACGAGAACGGCTAAACCCCAGGAGCCCTAGTCACGGTTTAGGGTTAAGGCTATACGGGCCAACCCGAACCATCAACCCAACCCCAAACCCTAAACGATAGCCCTTCCCTAACCCGCAGACCCTAAGCTTAATTCGCGCCTAAACCTAGAGCGCCCAGAGCCCGAAACCCTTCACCCGAAACCCTTCACCGTCCCAACTCCCAAAGCCTAAGCCGTCGCTGACGCCGAACCGCGAACACCTAACTCACAAGGCTCAAGCAGCCCGATGAGGGGGAGGCCGCAGACGACGACGATGATCAGCAAGGTGCCTCGATTTTGGGAGCTCAGGGCTGAAAATTGAAAGGGCTTGAAACGGTTTAGGGTTTAGAGCTTGGGGCGAAAAGGGTCTGAGGTCGGGTGTTTTTAGTGCTTGGGGTTTCGAGCTTTGGGCTCATTTATAGAATCTTTCACAACAGCACGGCCAAGTATATCTGCAGCGTGTAAGCGTTGTCATGATTCATGTCCTCATGCTCTGCATGAGACAAACTCTCGGGGGCAACGGAAATCGTCAGCAGCCTGCGTTTGTTGTAGAATTCAACAAATTGAGCTGTGTTGTTGTATGGATTTCATTCTCATTATGCAGAAACCCGAATCAGTCCGGGTATTGACTGCTGAGGTGACTACGTTCTTCTACTGGGGAGATTTCTCTCCTGACTGTTTCCTTGGGTTCCTGTTGTGATTTACGGGAAGATGTCCTGTAGATCACCAGGGATCCGAATAATATTACGGCCCTTGAGGGAAGGGGGCTCAGTCAGGGATCTACATGAACAACCGCCAGAACCCTAAATGCTAAATCGCCAACCCCAAGCCCAAAATGCATGCCCCCGACCCCTCCAGGGCATCCCTTTTTAGGGGATTGCAATCATTATCACTACTATTATTGCCATTATTAATTTTTGTTATTGCTATTATCATTATATACTATTATTATTATTATTATTATTATTATTATAACTTTTAGTACTAGTATTATTTTTATGACGCTTATTGCTATCGTTGCCATTATAACAGCGCAGCTCGAGGTCCACCGCTGACTTCGGAAGCCCTGCTGCGCCTGCAGCAGGAGTTGGCCGAGAAAGAGCTCCTTGAGAAGGTGCACAGGGTTTAGGGTTTAGGGTTTAGGGTTTAGGGTTTAGGGTTTAGGGTTTAGGGAGGGTGGAGGGATTTGAGTTTAGAAGTTCAGGGGGTTTAAGGTCTAGGGCTTTCAGGGTGCAAGACGGTCAGGGCTTTCCTGGGCTTAGGGTTTAGGGGTATGGAGGGTTTAGGGCTTAGGGTTTAGGGTATGGAGGGTTCAGGGCTTGGGGTTTTGGGTATGGAGGGTTTAGGGCTTGGGGTTTTGGGTATGGAGGGTTTAGGGCTTAGGGTTTTGTGGTATGGAGGGTTTAGGGCTTAGGGTTTAGGGTATGGAGGGTTTAGGGCTTAGGGTGTAGGGTATGGAGGGTTTAGGATATGGAGGGTCTTGTGTTTAGAGATCTTTAGGGGCTTCTGGCCCCTCAATTTTCAACTCTGAAGCTCAGGGTTTTGCGGCTTTACCTTTTAGAGCCTACGGCTCTCGGGCTTTAGGGTGTAGCGTCTGTTGATGTAGGGCTGAGGCACACGACACCGCGAGAGTCTCTGTTTTCGGAGGCTTAATTTCGTATGTATATGTCATCTTGTTATCTTGTGTTTATAAATCAATCTGACCTGGGGTTCAAGGTTTGGGGTTAAGGGTCTAGGGGAGTATGGTTTCGTATAGCTGTTTGAACCCAGCGTCGACGGTCAGGAGCTGGAAGCAGAGCTGGCTGAGGAGCCGCGCCGCCGCCGCGAGATGCCGGCGGAGTCGGCACAGTACGTGCCTTCGGCTTCACATGGAGAGGAAAGTAGGGCTTTAGGGATTGTAGGGAAAAGCAAGGTCTAGGGCCTAGAGTTTAGGGTGCAGCAGCTACAGGAAATAGAAACAGGGCCGCGAATAAGAAACTGCATATGCGAAACCAGTCTGTCTGGCATCGGCAGAATTGGGGTTCTGGTTTCCGAATCGGCCGCTAGGGTTTCCGCATCAGCCCTGAAAGTTTCCAAATCATGGCTGGCTTCCGATTCAGCTGTTCTGGTTACCAATTCAATCGTTCTGGTTACCGATTTTTCTAGCGACCAGCAACTACACTAACCGGTTCTGCTGCCTACTGTTGCAGCCGTTACTGCTCCTTTTCAAGCAGCACGGAAAGGGACCCTAAAAAAGGACCCTAAATAGTAGGATCCTTATTATAAGGACCCCAAACTGAGACACCCCTAGTTTTGGAAACTTCCAAATGGGTCCATTCCGATAAATGGCCTATGGCACAAGCTCTTGGGGTACTCTGAAATCCGAGCACGACACCTGCAAAACTTGAATCCATACGTCCTATACGCACTGCTCAAACTTGGGCCGCCTCCCTCCTTAGACAAGAAGAATCCGGAAATGCAGGAGCCTGATGCAGTGCCAAGAATTGCCACTCTTCCTTAAGGTTCTGTAAGGTTCCGTGTTATACTTGTAGTAATTCGAAACTACTCCAAAGCCCTAGCCCAATCAGGCCGCCATGTGATAGGAGCCCTGTGGAACCCTTGCCATAGATCCCCTGAAAAAGTAACCCGGAGCCTGCCCTAAACCCTAAACCCGAAACCGCTAAGCCCTTTAAACAAGCAACCCGGAGCCTACCCTAAACCCGAAACCCCTAAGCCCTTTACAGAAGTAACCCGGAGCCTGGTTGTAGATCCCCTTTTGGCTTCACCTTCACTGCCGGGCTCTCCAGGACTCCACCCACCCTGCGACTGAGCTCCCCCCCGAGTCGACGCACCCCGCCACCGAAATGCCGGTCGACGAGGCGCGGGGTTTCGGGTTTTTGAGTTTTTCCCCTTGTATAACCCTTAAACCCTAAAATTACAGCTTAGGGTTTTAGCAAGACTTGTAACGTTCCTGCTTTGGGGTTGAGCATGGTTATTTATTCCCCTAGACCTGAAACCCGAAACTGGTCCGACTACGGTAGCTATTACCTTAGAGGCCCCGCACATGACTGTATGGCTGTTGTGCATCGCTCTGCCGTGGGTCATGTATACTTACAGAAAAATGGGCCCCAAAACCCTATTCTAATTATCAAGGCCCCTACCTTACCGACTCGTGACACGGGCAGAAGGAAAAGAGGGTTCAACTGGCTTTGCCTTACGGTTTGGGGTCATTTTCGGACTTGAGGCATCTTTGATGGTTGGCTTCTGCGCCATGGTATCCCTGAATGTGCTCACGTATGGTATCCTGTTTCTCTGTGACCAGTGCTGCTCTAGCTATTCTTGCTGTTGCCATTCCAGTGCTCGCACCCTTAATGCGATGCTGGTTCTCCGCATCGGGGCCATGTGTCGACAGTCGCTGTTGTCGTTGTGGCATCGTACTTCTTGCAATGTTCTGTTATGCTTGCCGTATGTTTTCCGGGTAGGCCCTGGTATTTTACTTTTCCCTTTGTTGGGCGGCTTAAGAGGATCAGTTACGATAATTTTTCGATGGCCTTAAAGAGCCAACCTAGTTTTCGAAGACCCGAAGCCCTAAACTCCTAAACCCTAAACTCCTAGACCCTAAACCCTAAACTCCTAAACCCTAAACTCCTAAACCCTAAACTCCTCACCCCTAAACCCTAAACTCCTAAACCCTAAACTCCTCACCCCTAAACCCTAAACTCCTAAACCCTAAACTCCTCACCCCTAAACCCTTAAACCCTAAACCCTATAGGTCCGACTCTGGAGCAGTAGAGTGCTGGGGCCCCCGAGAGCTTATTGCGACCGCGTCTTCCTACTGAGGAAGTCTTGCATCTTTGTTCATATAAAACCCAAGGGAATATTGAACATACGAAGTCTACCATGGAAAATTCATGGGAATATTAAACATTAAACATGCGAATTCTACCATTGTTCTAAGGGGGGCAGAGCTTCATCTGCAGATCTGAGGCCAAGTCCTTGAGTAACTCTGAACGGTTTAGGCTTTAGCGCAAGTCAGGGTTGACCGACAAGCCCGACCCGGCGCTTAGAAAGCCACTGCAACCCCAAACATCCAAAGCAGAAAGCACTGAACAACCCAGAGAAAAAGGGATTTACAGCCGCTTTAAATCCCCCCCCCCCCCCGCAAAGGAATGCTTCAAAGGACGCCGTTTCAAGGAACCCTTCTCGTGGAACCCACCCCTTCTAAAGGCCGCTCGGAAAGCTCAGGAGGATGACGTGGACATCGCCGACGACGCAGAGACGCAGCGTGCCTTGCAGAAGGCCATGGGAGGATTCGAGGCAGTGGCTCGGAGCTGAAGAAGTGTGTTGGTATTTCGTATTTTGTAGTTTGAGGGGGACGGGGGTTGCGTGTTAGTTAGGGTTTGCGTTTAGGTTTCGATTTTTTATATAAATTTTCGCTTTGTTATGTTGATCAGCATTGCTGCTTTAGTGTTACTGTCATCATAGAAATTATTCTTATTGTGTTGGTGCTTGTCATTTTTTAGGGTTCAGGGTCCATGCTGAGGGTTTCGGCTTTCAGAGGGTTTTGTAAGGCTTTTAATCGGGCATTTATAGTGGTGGGCGGGGCTGTCTATGGTTGCCAGGGTTTATGCAGTTTGTGTGGGGTTGTAGGCGCTTGTGGGTGTTAAGGGGGGAATATGGGGAAACATCATGGGGCTGAAAGGTTTCTTGGATCAAGCCGCTGTAAAGGGTTTCGGTTGTTGGATCCGTTCAGTTGCAGGGTTGCGGTTTTTCTGTTCGAGGTTTGGGGTGCTGGATTTTGCATCATTTCATGTTTTGTGTTTTCCCGCTGAACAGCACCGGGCATTATGATTGCTTAAAGTTTTACCCTAAACCCTAAATCCGTACCTAGACTGTGGGAATTATTGTCGTTTTTCAGGCTAGAGCAGGAGTTTGTGAATCAGCTCCAGGATCGCCACAACACCTCCGCCTTTACACGTCGTGTCCTGAAATCGTGTTTTCTTTGGTCTTCAAGGCTGCAGTGCTTCGTGTCCTCTGTAACCCCTTGCGGCATCTGCATGACCCTTCTTGCTAACCCCACTTCGACGCCGCCCGGAGGGTGCATTTCAAACTGAGTTTGCATGAACCCCTGGTTACGAGCATGCTTGTCACTTCAGTCTCACTGGTCTTGAGCTTGCTCAGCTCATAGCCTGCCTCTTTGTCGAATCTGCATGGGTACGTACAGAAATGATCAGCGCTATATACAAACACACTAACAAAGACGACATGTTACAGTATGTGCACTATATATGTATATATATATATATATACACACACACGTTGTACCTTTGGAAATTGACATCTAGGCTGAGGAACGGGAGGCAGGACGCCCTGAGCTTCTAAGCCTCAGACCCAATGCCCTAAACCCTAAGCCCTAAACCCTATACCCTAAACCCCGCCCCCAAAGCCACTTAGGAAGAGGATGATGTGGACATCGCCGATGACGCGACGACCCAGAGAGCCCTTCTGAAAGCTATGGGTGGCAGCGAAGCGGCTCCTTTGCTGTATGTGGGGCCAAGGGCTTTAGGGATTAGCGTGCTACTCGGGATTTCGGGTTTGGGGTGGTCTCATGGGGGTTTAGGGCTTTTGGGTTCAGGGCTTTAGCAGGGTTTGAGCATATTCGGGTTCAGGGCTCTGAAAAGGGTTTGCGGCTCTAGGGTTCAGGGCTTTAGTAGGGTTCGGAGCTGTAGGGTTTAGGGCTTTAGCCCGGTTTACGGATATTAGGGTTTGAGGCTTTTGCAGGTTTGGGGACTTAGGGGTTAGGGTTTAGGGCTTTACTAGTTGCCAGTCGGTTTACGGCTTCATTTGGGTTGAAGGTTTTAGCAGGGGTTACGGATATTAGGGTTTGGTTTAAGCAGGTTTTAGTTTGGGGCTTTTGCATGGTTTAGGGGTTTAGGGTTTAGGGCTGCACGGGGTCTAGGTCTTTAGGGTTTAGGGCTGTAGTAGGTGTTAACGCTTTATTAGGTTTTAGGGCATCACGGTCAAGGTTTTTTAAGGTTTAGGGCTTTAGGGTTTAGGGTTTTATCAAAGTGTAGGGTCCAGGGTTTAGGGCCTGTACTAGAGTGTGGGTTGGATCAATTATATCGTCGCGGTATCACCACGATAATTTGACTATTAGCAGTTTAATGTCCTCGGCTGCTATCTTTATTCAGCACAAGCCCTAGACCCCAAATCTTTGACCTAAACAAAATCCGCAAACCGCAAATTTGACACGTCGTCCCAAACCTTCCCAGGCCTTTAGTCAGAAGGTACACTAGGTACACCATGTAACAGTTTTCAGGCAGCAGCCTAACCTCTGTAAACACCTAGATGCGGCCTACCAAGCCCTGAACAATTAACCCTTGTGGCTCGTAAAGCCCTAGACCCTAAACCCTTGCGGCTTATCAAGCCCTAAACCCCAAACCCGAACCCCCCACCCCCATGTTCTTGTAGGAATCCGAAGTTGAAGCCGCCTGGGACAAGGCGTTAGGGTTCAGGGTTTGATGGTTTTTTTTTCGGATCTTAGGATCTGGAGGATTTCGGGGCTGGGGTTGGGAATTTCAGAGATAGAGTTCAGGGTTTCAGGGCTTCTTTCCGGAACCTGGGATCTAGCGATTCAGGGTGTAGGGGCATCCCGGATTCGAGGGTTTTGAGGGTTTGCAGGGTTCGATTATTCGAGGGTTTAGCCTTTTGAAGGGGTCGCGGTAGGGTGTGTTATTTCCAAGCCGACATGGCTGATGCAACATGTCATGCTACTGGTGCGGTTCAGGAGTCACCCCTGAACACCACACCTCAACCCAAAGCCAACGTCTGTAACCCGAAGCCCTAAACCCTAAACCCCCGAACCCCTAAACAACAGACCTGAGCAAACTGAATCATTGTTGACGACCCGAGAGCCCGGAGAAGCGATTTCAAGCTCGAGCTTCTTTTGGTTGGCTTCCGAACTCTTGGGCACCGCATGATCGCCAGAACCCCGAAACCGTAAAGCCCAAACAACCCTAAACCCTTGAAAAGCTTCAACCCAAGCCAAAAGCCTTAAACCCCTAAACTTAGAACCCGACCCCTCTATGTCAACCATCGTAAAAACCATCCTATACAGAACCCGGGATGTGGGTGTTGATGTTTTAGAGATTTAGGGCTTGTGGCCTAGATGTCGAAGGTTTTGATGTTAAAGGTTCAGTGGAATGCGCACAGATTGTAAGAAGCCCGCAATGCCCTCCTCCAGACCAGAAGCTTGATGTCCGCTGCCACTCCGAGTCTTCAACAAGTAAATGGTTCAGCGTTAACATCAGGGATCTAGAAAGGCACTACAGCAAAGGTATCGGAATATTCAGAATAGGGCTTGGATAGATTCATAGTGTGATGACTGTGCAGGCGGGTACTACTACCACTTGTTCCGACCGGTGTATAATGAGACTAGCGTTTTGGTCAAACTAAGCCTCTGTTATCAAGAAGGAACCCTATGAAACAGCATTAGTATTTCTGCAGCAGTCTGTATTTCCAATCCCCTAAACCCTAATCCCTAAACCCTAATGCCTAAACCCCAATCCCTAATCCCTGAATTCCCACCCGGCCCCCTTGGGCCGTTCCCGCCCATAACTGGGTGCCCACTGAAGATGCCCGGCAGCCTTCACACCCGGACCAAAAAATGGCGGAGCCTACGGAGATGGTCGAATACAGCCCCATCTCGGCTGTCAAGGGCTCCGCTCGCCGCCGGCCGGCCACAGCTGGGCCTAAAATCCATTCCCCTGTCTCCTTTCTTTGCGGAGTGGGAATTGAGAGCGTAAGCCCTAAACCCTAACAAGAGATGGTTTGGGTGGTTGCCTGTGGTATCATCACAGCGGGCGGGTTTTCGAGAACTTCCGGTTTCACCGAGTTCTAGGACACATGCAAGTGAGGAGGCGCCATCCTAGCATGGATTATCAGCCACTGCGCAAGAAGACACCATAATCCCTAAACCTTAAAGCCCTAAACTCCTAAACCTTGAACCCTAATCCCTAAACCCTAAACCCCGAAGCCTACAGCTCGAGACCCTTTGAAGAGGCCTTAGGCCCGGGAGCGGCCGAAGCCGCCCCGGCGACTGCCGACGCAGAGGCCGAAGGATGTGGAGTAGGGACTAAGGCTTCCTCGAGGGGTTGGGAGACAGCGAAACAAAAGGTCATCAGGATCATGGTTATCATCATCATCATCACCATCATCATCATCATTATCACCAATTCCATCACCATCATGATTCATCATCACCACCATTTCCATCATCATCTTTCATCACCATCATCATCATCATCATCATTTTCATCGTTGCCATCGTTCGCATCAGCAACCCCTCCCTCCTCCCTCCTCCTGCTCCTCCTGCTCCTCCTGCTCCTCCTGCTCCTCCTGCTGCTCCTGCTGCTCCTGCTGCTCCTGCTCCTCCTGCTCCTCCTGCTCCTCCTGCTCCTCCTGCTCCTCCTGCTCCTCCTGCTCCTCCTGCTCCTCCTGCTCCTCCTGCTCCTCCTCCTCCTCCTCCTCCTCCTCCTCCTCCCTCCCCCCTCCTCCTCCCTCCCCCTCCTCATCATCATCCTCCTCACCAACAACGTCATCGTCGCCGTTATCATCAGCATCATTGTCATCATCCTCACCGTCATCGTTATCATCATCAGCATCGTCATACGAATCAGTGCCTTAAAGACAATACATGAGAAGAAGCAGAAAAAGGACTGTCGTGACGGCCATCTATACAGTAGAAGGTTTGTTCTGTGTTGGGCAGTTCTTGTAGGCGCTCCGGTTTTGGCATTGAAGTTTAGACAGTGGGTTAAGTTCTTGAAGCTTTGCCGGGTTTGGTGTTTAGGGTCCCAGGAGCAAGCTACTGGTACTTGTGTCAACTAAGTCCGAGGTGGTTCGGTAGGACGTAAGGAAAAGCTTGTCCAGACTCTAGGTGTGGCAGCCTGGCCATTGCTCCTACGACAGTGCGAAAGTCCCAAGCCCGAAATCGTGAGTCCACGGCAATAGACTCACAGCTGACCTTCGAAGCACAGATAAAAGCTCAAGGCCTTTTTGTCATCATGGCTATGAGAACCATTATGATGCTTATTCTGACTACTACCGCATCGGCTTCTTTTTATCTCTCCCGCAGGGTCTGAATGAGTGCTTTCCAAGTGTCACTGAGCCTACGTCAAGGTGTTGCCGGGTACTCTGAATATCTTTGAATACACTTAAACCCTAGTCTTATCACTGTGTCTGAAACCCGTGTACAGAACCCTAATGAGACCTCGAAAATGCTGTGAAGACTTCGTCTATGTACCTAGGTCCTTTACACTGTACACCCTTCGAGCAATGCCCGTTCTCCCGAAGGTCCCGGGCGAGTCACAGGTGCAACCGGCGGCAGAGGCGACGGCCGAGCCGACGGCAGAAGTGGAGGCTGTAAGGGAAGTGACGGGTATGAGAGAGGCTTCAGGACAGCAGAGGTACCTTATCCAGGGGTCCTTGGAATGATACTGAGGGTCCGGACACGGGCTACAAGAGGACTTCACGAAAAGCAACCAGGCATAAACAAGTCACATGTGGTGGTGATGAATGTCTGGGTCGTCGTAGTGTCACTCTCAGCAGCAGTAGCAACAGCACCAGTAGAACCCTAAATCATTGAAATCTTATTTCAGCTGTGCCCATAAATCATAAACGCTTGTCCCCTGAACACGAGGCCACGGCGCAGTGCTAGCGAAAGCTAGTGATAACAAAGCATCACCAGGTCTCACACGAGTTCGTAGGAGCCACTCACTGGAGTAACGGTTTGGGGTTTAGGGCTTAGGGCTTAGGGTTTAGGGTTTAGGGCTTAAGGTTTAGGGTTTAGGGCTTAGGGTTTAGGGCTTAGGGTTTAAGGTTTAGGGTTTAGGGTTTAGGGTTTAGGGCTTAGGGTTTAGGGTTTAGGGTTTAGGGCTTAAGGTTTAGGGTTTAGGGCTTAGGGTTTAGGGTTTAGGGCTTAGGGTTTAAGGTTTAGGGTTTAGGGCTTAGGGTTTAGGGTTTAATTTAAGGTTTAGAGCTGAGGGTTTGAAACTGTCTTTGGAAAGAGTCTTATGCTGGATTCCCTCAGCACTAAAACTTACAGTAGAAGCCCAAAAGTTGGAAACCCAATAGCCTCAATCCTTAACAGCAATGTATAGGGAATCCCAGCACTAGTTGTCCGTAATCCGGTCTCCAGCTTCTTAGGGTTAACCTCTTGGAGTTCACTATGGACCTTAATTATCAAGCTTTGAGCCCCAAACCCTGAACCCCCCTAGTACAACCCTACGCCCACGCCAACTTCCAACCTCCGAAAACCTCAAGCCTAAACCTTAGCCCATGTTTTCCTGCTTTTGCTTCTGACTTGCAAGGCGGCGGCTCCAGAGAAGGTGGCCGAAGCTGTTGAGGCCGAGGCGGCTGCCGAAGAGAAGGCAAGGTGTGCGAGGTGTTTAGTGCATGAGCGCCTTTTCTGTCGAGCTGAGGGTTCAGGTGGATCTTGGGGGGAAGTAGGGTTCTGATCAGTTAGCAATGATTCTGCCTTATCTTCCCCCTACATATTAAAGACGATAGCATATCAGACAAATCTCCTTCTAGAATAGATTGCAATTCGTAGTAAGAGGCTTGCGATGACTGAGGAGGCGGCTCCTGCAGCGGAGCCGGTTCCGATTCCGGAGCCAGCAGCAGTGGAGCCCGCGACATCGGAAGCAGCAGCCGAGTCGGCTGCAGTGGCGGAGGTGGAGGCGGCTTCTTCGACTTGGCCGATTTTTTTGAATGTCAGTATTTGCCTTGATCTTCTTTTATGATTTTATGGTTCAACATGTGTGTCTTTCTCTTTCTCTTCTCCTTCTGTTTCTCTTTCTCTTGCTCTTTATCTGTATATTCATCTTTATCTTGTCCCAGTTGATTTCATCTTGTCTCGTCTTGTCGTCTCTTGTCTTGTCTTCACTTACTTTCTCTCAGTCGCAAGGCACCGGATGCCGAAGCGGCGGCACCTGCGCCCGAGGCCGTGCAGAAGGCACTCGTTCACCGATAGCCTCTGAGAGATAGGCCCAGGGAAGATCCTCGAGAAGGGTGCTGTTTTCTTGAAGGTTTCGGGTTTAGTTGAGAATGTGGAGTACGGAGAAGTAAAGCGGTTGGATCGAAGCAGGGGTCTGAATAAGTTCTTACAGTATCTCTTGGGCCTGCCGAATACTGGCCCGAAAATATTACTATTCACGCGCCGCCAATAACACTAATTAGGGGACTTACAACCCCTTTTATAACTGCCCCAAGTACCCCACATGGTAGCGTGTGCATTGTTCATGCTTACATGCATGCATAATCGCATGCATGTATCTACCTGCCCGCTGGCAGAGCTGGCCGTATGCATGAAGGGCGCAGGGTGTTCTAGCTGGCTCCGGTTGCTGATTGAGGCGCAGCGCTTGCAAGAGACGATTTTCCAACCCCCCTAAAGACCGAAATCTTAAAGCCCAGGCCGCTATACTTTCCCTAAACCTGTCCACAGCGGCTCCAGAACCCAGGCCCCACGAGCCAAACCCTGAACGCGACCCCCCACACCCCCACTCCCATTAGACTCTAAACAAACCCACCCGAAATCACCACTAAACCCTGAACATTTAAAGCCCTAAACCCCCAATTCCAAAGCTCCCCACCCTAAACCCTAGTAATGCTTGAGTGCAGGAGGGCGCGGAAGAGTTTGCTCTACCGGACTTTGCCGAGGCGTTTGGGGGGAGACACCCGGGCTTTTCGTCAAGAGGATTGTTTTCCCAACTTATGACATGGGTTTAGGGTTTAGGGTTTAGAGTTTAGGGTTTAGTGTTCCTAACTTATGACATGGGTCCTCAAAAGTGTTCCAGCGGTTTGCATAGGTTCGGGAGGTTGGGGTTTACAGTGCTTTACAGGGTTTAGGGTTTAGGTTGGCGTTGTCTACATCTTTTGGTTCGCTTTGGATGGTTTGGGCTTCGGAAGTTTTTCGTCAGGTGCGGTTTCCGCTTTCAATACTCTGCAGGCACGAAAAGCTGTGATGGTTTCCCTGCCGATTATCCTTAAAGTGTAAGAGGTCTCAAAACCCTGTTCATCTCAAGTATCCCCTCACGGTCCCGGTCTCCGGTCTCAATCCTGTACAACTTACTCCGAGAACCCAATCTACAGTTCAGGCCCCTATACTAATCAGGCCCATGTACAAGCCTGGGCTGAAGAACCCTAAACCCCAAACCCTAAGCCCTGAACCCGAACCCTAAGACCCAGAGCCCGAAACCCTAAACCCTAAACCCTAAACCTTAAGCTGCGAAGGCAGCAGCAGAGGCCCTGGCAGCGCAGCCGGAGCCCACGGCAGCAAAGGGAGCAGAGCCTTCGGAGCAAATCGAGTCTTTAGGGTTTTCAGGGCGTGGGCGTCCTATTTTCAGAGACTTTGTCTGTGTGTGTTTTGGGATTAGGGTTTCTTGGCTTTCGGGCTTTTAGCGTCCTTTTCCAACATCTTGGGGCTTTAAACCCAATCCTAAACCCCAAACCTGCTCAACGTTGACGACTTTGAGATCTGGGTTGCTAGTGGATTTGTTTCGGGGGTCGGCGCTCTTCCGGAAGCGGTACTCCTCCTTGTAGCATAAGAGTACCTGAGGGTTTAGGCCTTCGGGCATCTTTGCCATTGTAGTTCCCTCTTTGGCCGAACCAGCTTCGGGGTTCGGATCCTACAAACTCCTGGGAAGTAGTGCTACTGTTGCATAGTAACGCAAGTTTATGGATTTGGGGCGTCTGGATTTGAGACTGCAAAGTGTAGTATAGTAAGGTTCAGGATTTCGAGCTTATCGTCGTTAAAGGCTCTGGTTGCACGAAACATCGCAACCTGAGAACAATGGAAGTCTTCTTATTCCCGATACCATGCTTTCATCGTGAATTCCTGAAAACTCATATCAACAGACGCTCAGCCCTGAACTGCCGCTCTGACGACGACCGTAGCGAGTACCGACTTTCCTGTGCTGCCTATTTCCAGGCTTCCTACATGCCCTGACAGCATCGTATGTGCTGTTTAAGACACAACAGGCCTAAAGCTCAAGCTGTAAACCCTTTACAGTCTCTGCACTCTTAGCCGGAGGCACTCTCGCGTGCACATCGCGTGCACATATGCCAGCAAAGCCTGCTGCCTGGCCCTTCAACCGGAAACTGCCGGAACCGCCATCATAGACCCCGAACCCCAAGCCACTAAACCCCGAAGCCCTTAGCCCGAAACCCTAAACTGCCTAAACTCCTAAACCCTACAGCCCTTAGCCCTGCACCCTGCACCCCGAAACCCTTACCTGCTTAAGCTCCTAAACCCTGAACCCCTTAGCCAAGCCCTCAACCCGACAGCCGAAATCCTCAACGCAGCGCACTGAGGAGACGACCGGCGAGCCCAAACATGCTCCAAGCCCAGAGATCGAAGAGGCTCCCGAAATGCGCTTTTTTTTGGGGGGGCTTTGGATTTAGGGCTTAGGGTTTAGGGTTTAGGGTTTAGGGCTTAGGGTTGCCCTAAAACCCTTCTACACTCAAGCCCCAAGACCTTAAGCCCTAAGCCCCAAACATTCTGCCCGCCCTAAACCTAAACCCCGAAACCCACCACTTTAAAGAAGAACCCAAACGTAAGTTGGGGTCCAGAGACGGCTAACAACACTTCAAAAAAGCTGTAATGGTACTACTTCTCAGGGTCCTTATGAAATTCATTGTTAAAAGTACACCAAAAAACCCTTAGTACTTAGTAATGCTTCTCCTAAGAGCTTCTTATGTAATGACCATGAGCCCTGTAGGTCTTATTATAAGGCCCCTGTGTCACCCCTAAACCCCAAACCCTAAAATTAGGAATTGGGGTTTGGTGTTTCGTCAAGGGTTTGCCCAGCCATGCCAGGCCTGTCACCCCGGCTGCGTCCCTAAAACCTACGCCTTCGACACCTCGACGATTGAGGGATTAGGGTTTAGGCTGCAGGGTTTTTATGGGTTTCGGGTTCAGGCTTCAGGGTTCAGAGGTTTAGGGTTTAGCGTTTGGAGATTCAGAGAAGCCAGAAAGTTGGAACATCATTATCCAATTAACGCACATTATGGGGGATCCCAGCACTGTTCATGCTAAACCCCATGACTTTTTGGGATTCAGTGTAAAGCGAGCCCATGAGGCTTAAACCCTAAACCCACTTAGACCCTAGACCCGAAAACCCCATAAGCTCCCCCAACCTCCTCCAAAACCCTAAACGCGAAGCGTTGAAGCTTTCGGCAGAGGTGCCAGACGCTAAGCCGAAGGAGGCAGAGCTCGTTGAGCCCGCACCGGTGATTCAGGCCATCGTCGGGAGGGGGACAGCTCCGGGCTGAAGTGTTCAGGGTTTAAGGTTCAGGGTTTTAGGGCTTAGGGTTTTAGAGTTTAGGGTTTCAGGGTTTAGGGTTTTAGGGTTTAGGGTTTAGGATTTTCAGTCTGAGGTTACGGGTGTAGGAGCTGTCGTTTGAAACACGAGGTTCACTCTCTTCGACTGCGAAGATTCAAACCCTGCACCGTCACCGAAGCTTGAGTCTCATTAAGTTGAGATTTCAAATTGCAAGCTCTATAAGCCCCAAAGCCCAATATCCTGAACTCAAAGCCCCGCACCCCCCCCCCACCAATTGCGCAATATTTTAAGTTCAATTAGAAAGTGCTCAAACCAATGTCCTCTAGAGCAACATTCATACCCTAACCCCTGAACCTCTCCACCCCTAAATCCCTACAAAGCCTGTATAAACCTTCAGACCCCTAAATCCCTAAACCCCCAAAGCCAATCAAGCCCCAAGCACTTAAGTCCTTAAGCCCCGGAGCGCCGAACCCTAAACCCCACCATTTCATGTCTTCGCAGCCCCGAGCCTTTATCTGTAATGTAGGAGCCAAGAAAATAATAGCCAGTACTATTTTTTTTGTGTGGTTTCTTGTTATAGTCGTCGCATAAAATACCCCAAAACGCTATTCTAATCATTAAGGCCTCTAGAGCACCCGGGCCGCTCCAAGGAGGTGGAAGCCACCGAGGCCGCACCACCTCAGGAGGGCCCAGCCCTCGCAGATCAGGACGGGCTGCGGCTTTAAGGATTCTACGGCTTACGGGGCTTCTACGGCTTACAGGGCTCAGAGGGTTGGGGGTATAGGGTTCAGGGGGTGTAATAGTAATAGAAGTATAAGGCTCAAAGGTTGGGGGTTTGGGGTTCAGGAAGTACGCGTGAGGGCCTGAATATACCAGGGTCCTGGAGCATCGTAGTTCTAAGCCCTAAATCTTGCACACTGCACCTTCGGAGTACAACCTAGTACAAGCGAGGGGTGCGGAACAATCAGGAATACTAGCCCCTGAAAATCCTTCTATAAGTAAACTACGACATGCTCTAATCAGAAATCATGCGGGCTTCTGTGTTACTTCAATGTAGGATGCCTGGCCCAGAGTTCAACGGATGCGCGCCGCGGCCTTGCCCAGAGCATCCTGAGCCTTTCCAGAGCCCCGAAGAAGAAAGAGGGGTTTAGGGTTCAGGCTTCGTCTGCACCTTTATAATAACCTCTAGACTCTAGACCCTAAACGAGAAAGGCCACCTCACACTCTACAAAATCTAATCCCGAAGCCTTAAATGACTTTGAGAAGTTTGTGGAAACTTGGAAGAACCTCCCAGGGCCTGTGAGAGCTTTCTAACAGCATGTAAGATCTCTGGAAGACACAACCTTTTATAAGCCCTATTACTATCGCTCCGAACCCTGAAGCCTTTGCCCTGGTCCCTAAACCCTTAACCCTAATCCTTATACCCTAATCCCTAATCCCTGAACCCTAATCCCTAAGCCCTAAACCCTAATCCCTAAGCCCGAAACCCTCAACCCTAGACTCGCCAGGATCGCGTCAGCTCCGTCGGCTCACGATGTTCCCCATCGGGCTCCGAGGACGAGGTCACCGCCCCGAAGAGAGACTTTCCTTTCAGGGTTTGGGACAACCCAGACCTAGAGGCTCATACCCTAAGGTATCTAATTTTCTATATAACAGATCCTAACCATAAAACTAGGTATCCTGAAAAAGGGGTAGGGTGTGACCCTCTAGGGAGAGCCCAATACCCCCTAATTAAGGAATACACCTTACATCAGTAGGGGGCTTCATATTATGATTCGGGCTATATTCCGGCATTAAGGGGCACCGGGCTCTCTGGAACCTGCAGACAGGGGGGCACTCTAAGGTTGGCTTAGGATATGTCTGGGCTTTAGGGTTTGTGGCTTTAAGGTTGCGGGTGGTTTGGGTTCATTCCTGGACAGCCACCGAGCCGAAGCACTTTACAAACGCCCTCAACCCAGAGAGCCCAATACCCCTTAATTAAGCAATATATCTTAAACCATAGTATGAAGCCCTATATAGTTTAAGCCATATTCCTTAATTGAGGGGAAATTGGGCTTTCTGGGAACCGCGAACCTCGAGGAGCTTCGGCAGCTGGCAACAGCTGCCGCGAGCTTTACAGCGGTTTACGGATCAGGGTTCAGGGTCGAGGGTTGAAGCTTAAAGCCAAACCCTAAGCCCTGAAACCTAAACCCTAAAGCCTAAACCCTAAACTCGAAACCCTAAAGCCTAAACCCTCAAGCCTAAACTCTAAACCCTAAAGCCTGAACCCCGAACCCTTCTGGAGTTTGGATTTTGACGGTTTTGTCGGGCTGAGGCCGACAAGATGAGTGTGGCCGGACGCAGCATCGCCGGCCGCAGCATTGCAGGACGAAGCATTGCGGGTCGAAGAATCTCAGATGCAAAAGTGGGGTGTAGGTTATATAGGTTTAGGGTTTAGGGTATATGGTTCAGGGTAGACGCATTTAGCACCGTCGATGTTCAAAGCTTTTTCCTCTCTCTCTTTCTCTTTCTCCTTCGCGCTCGTTCTCACTCTGAAGCAAATTCAGAGGGACCTCCGATGACAGAGCATAGTACCCTAAGCCCCACACCCTAAACCCCGAAACCTGAAACCTAAACCCTACACGCTACACCCTGAAACCTACGCCCTAAACCAGGCATGGCGGGCCGGAGCGTTGCTGGTCGGAGTATTGCAGGTTCGGGCGCTTTAATTTGTCATGCCGTTTTGTTGCCCCCTGCTACAACTATAATGGGCGACGCTATGTTAAAGGCTTCCTTACTATAGAGATATCATCATGTACCACTATTTTAGGCATGTTAAGTATGGCTTTATCCTCATCTACCACTAAAGTCTTTAATTTGCAGTAGTCTTGATCGTTGATGGTTTGGGGCCCAGGTCTGGGTTGTTAGGGACCATGGTTTGAGGAACGAGGAGTTTCGAGTTTCGTCGGTAGACTCTGACACTGAGGCAAGTTTTGTTTTTGGAGTTTCGAAGCCTTAACCGTTATTTGTGTCCGGACTCGAGGCCCAAGGCCATGACCCCAAATCAAAAAGCATCGAAAGCAGGTGTCAGCATTGCTGGCTATGGCCTGCGTGGAAAAAGTGTGGCGGGCAAGAGCATTGCGGCCAGTGTGGCTGGCGGCTCTGACAGGACACGGTTTGGGGTTGTAGGGTTTAGGGTTTAAGGATCAGGAGCGGGAACAGCTTGGGCTTGTGTGGGATTTCCGAGGTTACATAATGTACCCATAAACAATGACTTAACAAGAATAACAAGCATAGTTGGTATGACAATAGTACATATGTCCTTGTACACTGAGGTCTACCATGCCCCCCAACCAAACCCCCTAAGCCCTAAACTCTTTGAGGGATTTGGCTTTAGGGCTTTGGTTGGGATTTGCAGGGTCTACAGGCGACAGGGCTTCGGGCGGTGAAGACAGAGCCATTGGTCACGTGGTTTAGGATTAAGAGTTCAGGATAAACCATCAGCGCATCCTCCCCTAAATCCCCAAACCTTAAACCCCTAAAACCCTGAACCCCTAAACCGTAAACCCCGAACCCCTAAACCCTAAACCCTAAACCTTGAACCCCTAAACCCAAAATCGGTTTTTTCTTTCGCGTCACTTATCACAAAGTCATGCGGGGTGACTCCCTACATGCGGGGTGACTACGTCTTTGTCTGACCAGCGTGTGCCTGTATAGCTAGACAATTCAGTCATCACGCTGCAAAAAACCCCCAAACTCCGAAACCCCTACAGGTTCAGGGGACGGAGAAGCTCCCCTAGGGCTTGCTCGGATCCCATGGGGGAACGAGGGTTGAGGCTTTAGGGTTAGGGGTTAGGGTTGAGGGTTTAGGTTTAGGGTCTAGGAGTTTAGGGTTTAGGGTTTGGGGATTCCAGCAGACTCCTACTCTCCCAAGAAGTATTCTAGACCACTACTATCCTAAACCGTACAAAATTATTGGGTCCCTTGCACCCCTGGGGCTACCGTAGACTTTGGGTACGGCCCCCACTCAGTAATGGTTGAATAATATTCGCAATATTAACATGGGAGTTTCCGAAACTTAGAGGTTCCTTACTTGGGGGTCCTTATAATACGGATCCTACTATCTGGGGTACTATGTTAGGGTCCCCTATTTTCGGAAACTCCAACATACGAAATTCGAAGCTGGAGACCCAGAAGTAGAGATCACCATCCGGTCCCAGGAGTTACCGCACAACGATGACCACAAGAGAGATGCTTGTGGGGGCCAGCCAGATGCGAGAGATCATGAGGCATCTTGCTCAAAAGAGGGTCGAGCTTTCTGGGAGCGATGGTTCAACCGTATTGAACCTGCATGGGCACAGTTCTTGCGAGGCTTATGAGAGGCTTTGCCAGTCATGCTCACATGAATGCTTTCTCCCGGTTGAACGTCGAGTTGGTGATTTCAAGCAAGCGTGGGATGAACGATCCTTCAGACATCAAAGCCTGCAGACGCGGCTTTGAAGGACTCCAAGCCACTCAGTATGCCCGAATTCCGACACTAAGCCTTCAAGCCAAACTCCCAAACCCCAAACCCACCACAGGAATAGCATGGTCCGGCTGGAAAACCTCCTGTCATTCTAAGCGCCGAAACGCAAGATCGGCTGGTTGGGTCGAAATACAAGCTGATTCAAGTCTGTGTATGTGCGTATAGACAGAGACAAGCTGACAGACAGACAGGTAGACAGATAGAAGGATAAACAACTAGTTAGGTAGCTAGACAGCGCGCTATATACGTAGGCAGGCACGCGAATAGGTACTCATTCGTTAGGTACATGAGAATGAATGCAACCAATCAATAGCTGAACCCATCTCTGAACAACGACATCCCTACCCCCAAAGCTGCACGGAAAGCCTTGAGCCCTGAAGCCTTCAGAAAGTTATCGTAGAGGTTTCGGGTTTTGGGTTTACAGGGTTGAGGCTTAGGTAGGGTCTTGTCTTTATCGTAATCCCAACACCCTACACCCTAGACGCCTCATCCCTGAAGCCCGAATCCCCAAACCCTAACCCCTAAATCCCTAAATCCTGAATCCCTACACCCTAAACCGTAAGCTCAGGAGTGTATCTCCGATCTCCGAGCCCGGCGTCCAAGTAAAGCGCAAGAGGCGAAGGCGGCTGGGTCTTCGGTTTAGGGTTTAGTTTTTTTTTTGAGGGGGGGTTGGGAGTTCCTGGATTCAGGGTTTAAGGTTTAGGGTTTGGGGTTTAGGGTTTAAGGTTTAGGTTTTAGGGTTTAGGGTTTAGGGTTTAAGGTTCAGGGTTTCGGGTTTAGGGTTCAGCGGTGTTGGGTTTAGGGTTTCGCGTTTGGGCATCTAGAGTTTGGGAATTCAGGGTGTCGGGATCTACCTAGAGGGTCACACCCTACTTCCTTTGGCGCAGCTCCCTCTATGAGTTGTAGCAATTTTCCCCATTGCTGCTGATCAGATGAGTATATATATATATATATACACATACATATCGGTATACAATATGTATATGCATGTACATATGTATGTATACAGATGCACATGCATATCCATGGAAAGATGCAAACATACGTATGAAACTAAATACACAAATATGTGTTTATATATATATATATATATATAGATATATGTATGTTCTACATGTATGTGTACAGAGGTACATGTAAACATGCACACATGTGCCCGCGTAGACGTGCTGTAGTGGCATACCCCTGCCCTTGAACAGGATGGGGCTGGGGGGGAGGGTTTTCTCCAGGATAAATATTGTCTACGTGTCAGATCCAAGCCATAGAACTAGGTAGCGTAAACAAAGGCTCTAGGTGGGGATTGGAATTTAGGGCCGTTTTTGGATGCAGAGATTGGGGCCCTGGTTCGGTTTAGGGGGTTTGGAGGTTTCGGGACGGACAGTTTTGGGAAAAAGGGGGGTGCAGGGATTTAGGCATTGGGTTTTAGGGATTCAGGGACTAGGGTTTAGAGACTTTGAGTTCGGAGTTTAGCGACGTAGGGTTATGGGTTTAGGGCTAGTAGTGCTCAGCGGTGTAGTTGAAGGTTCTGGGCTTGAGGGTTTGGGTTTAGGGCAGGTAATTCGTCTGACTACAGCCCTTACGGTCTTCGTAGAGGTACAAGTATTTCAGGACCTTTCTAGTTGCAAGACCCTGATATGAGGGCCTGTATCGTTTCCGGAACATAACACTGCCAGCTCAGGCGCCACATGATCGACTGGGCCAGTTCCTGCTCTGCAGACAGCGCAGAGGCAGAACGCCGGCGGAAGAGGAAGGAGAAGAAGGAGAAGAAAAAGGCCCCCCCACTGAGTTGTAAGGTTCGCACAGTTCCCATTTCTACTCGCGCGCACTTATGACCCAAATATCGATCTTCATGATTTACATGGCATGGCTGTTGTTACTCCCGACGTCGCTGGTTTCGAGTTACGGTCTGAGGGTTCGCGGTTTTGGCTTCAGGGTTCATTGGAGCATTGTACAGCAAAGCGAAGAAGATTGTCTTTTTCTTGTGACAGAAAGACCGGGCAGGGACAAGGGGCCCCAGGCCCGAGAGCTGACGCCGAAAACCCTGAACCCAAACCAACTCCCGACTTAGGTACTTGGAGGTTCATGGGTGGTTATAAGTGGGGTTATGAGTCCCCTAATATGAGTTATAAGAACCTCCAAGTAGAGACGATTGGGATTTCAGGTCCATTCAATCGGCAAGGAAGTTCGTGGTATCGATTTCAAGGACATGTTTGTTTTGGCCTGGCCTGCTGCAAGGACTCTAAATTCTTGTGGCAAGCTTGCAGACTTCCAGCCCCCCTTAACCCTAAACCTCCAGTCTAATCTCGGGACCTCATTAGATAGGAAATGGTTTGAGCTGGGGTAGTTTGCAGTCTTCGTTTAGGGATCAGAAGGGGGTAGAAACGCCAGACCTCTACTGTACTGGACACTGACCTGTTCGACCCTTTGTCTTTCCAACTTACAGCCATAAACCTTACGTGAATCTGAAGCCTTGACAGGAACCCTGAACCATGACCCCAAAAGCCGCAAGGAACCCAGAACCATAATGCGGACCGGAGAAAGCTTGGAGGATGGAAGCGGTAGAAGTTGCTGCAGTCCATGCAGCAACGAGAGTTTGAGAATCGTATTCGTTCCCCCGAACACAAAGAACTCCTCAACCCCTCCCCAAAACAACGCTGCACTGAAGCCTCCCACCCAGCAAAATTCCCAAACCCTCACCCTAAACCCTAAATCCCGGCCGTTGATGCACCTTTAAAAAACCCTAAAACCTTAACCCTAAAGCCACAAACCCTAAACCCTAAGCTCTAAACCCTAAACTTACCCTAAACCCTAAACTCTATGCCCTAAGCTTCCCCAAACCCCAACTCACATCGCCCTTAACTCTCGGAGATCGGAGGCGAAGCTGGAGAAGCGCGTCTCCCTGCATCCTCGCCACTCGCCGTCGCACTATGCTGCCCCGCGCCCCGGCTGCAACAGCCATTTTTGGATTTAGGGTCAGGGTTTTAGGGTTGTGGGTTTTTGGGTTCTAGGGTTTTGGGGTTTGGGTCTAGGGTTTTAGGGATTTAGGGATTTAGGGATTTAGGGATTTAGGGTTTTAGGGCTTTAGGGTATTTTAGGGTTTTAGGGGTTTTAGGGTTTTAGGGTTTGGGTCTAGGGTTTTAGGGTTTTAGGGTTTTGGGTTTTTGTTCAGTGAGGGTTTTCTTTTCTGGGGGTTGTGGAACGGTTTCCACGAGGGGTCTCGAAGTAACCAAGACTGGTTAACGTGTTTCGTGGCTTCGAGAGTATACTTGGGGAATATGTGCTGCGAAGTTCATCGCGCTAGCCGAGAGCACTTGGAGGTTCACAGGTAGTTATAAGTGTTGTTACCCTAGTTATAACCCTACTTAATTATAACTTCCCATGAACCCTAAACCTAAACCCTATACCCTTATAGAATCCCTATAGATCCCTTTAAAGGGACCCTTAAAGGAACCCTTATAACTACCCATGAACCTCCAAGTCGAAATCCTTGAGCTCTGAAGGCCAGCAGCCTCGGAACCCTAAGGTCGCCAACCATCGAGACCGCCACCGTGCGCCGCAGCCCCGTACCGTCCGTGGCTCCATCGCACTGGACACAGAAGGCCCCGACTTCCACCGGGGGGGTTTTGGAAGGTCATGATGAGCACCGAATCAAGGGTTCATGAACACGACCCACGTAGACGAGAATTAGGTGAGCACCCCGGCGAAGGTACTCGCACAGGAGCATTTATGACACTTAGAGGTGGGTATTGGAAGTGTAAAAGAGGGTCAGCAGAGGGGGTTATAGATTTTGGAATTAGGGTCTGGGCCTGGGCATTATCACACCTCCTACTACTGCCACTACACTGACACGAATATCACTAGCACGACGACACCCTTTCTGAGCAGCAAGACGAATACAAAGGTTCGACCCCCTTAATTAATTAAGAGGACCCAGACGACCGCACAACCGGCCGCCCTCAGAGGATCCGTCGTTGGCTCCTGACGAGATGACAGAGCCCCCACCTGAGGTGGAGAAGAAGAAAAAGAAGCCCAAGGAGCGTCATCCAGGGTTTAGTAATACGGGAGCCTTAATGAGTTGGATAGAGTTTTGGTGTATGTTGCAGTAGCGTTATGTGGGTAGGGTTGCCTGGAACTTTGAAAATTAATGTCCTCGTCTAGTCCCCTCCGAGCTACCTCCAGAACCCCAGTTTTCTGGGTTCTTGATCAAAGTGCTGATCCCTGAACTTTGAGCCCTGCACCTTAAACCTTAACTCCAAACCCTGAACCCTAGACCCTAAAGCCTGAGGAGGGCAAGAAGAAGGGCAAGAAGAAGCCTGTTGCCGAACAAGCACCCAGTGAGTCCGCAGAGCCGGCAGCCGTGAAGCCCAAGAAGGCCAAACGCAGCCGATCACCAAAGCGGAAGAAGAAGGCTTGAGTAATGTAGGGGTCGGAATGATGAGGAATAGCATGCTATAGCTAATAGTGAGTATGATATACCCCGCACCCAATCCCTACTACTATGCGCCGTGGCTACCAGCTGCACTTGCCACTTGTCCTTTTTTGGCTGCTGCCCGTCCTCCCTACAGTTGATGAATGACACCTGCGGCCGCCATGACACAGGGACAAAACAACCTTAAACATTCGACCCCGAGCCCGAGCATCAGACCAGATCAGCAAAGCAGGTAGCCAGGGACGGCTTGCGCACCAATTCAGACTTCCCGTGGGAGGTTCTGGACAGTGTAGTCGTGCCTGCACGCCATCGACTCCAAAAAACGTCCTCCGTGCACTAACTCCCCTGATATCGGCCATGTTTGTGTATGTGTTCAACTGTCATGTGGGTGGTTGTCAAAATTATGGTCGCTTTTTGGGTCCCTATTTTTAGACGGCACCTATTATTTAGGGTACCCCCAAAGGGACCCTAATTTTGACAACTACCCATGTCACAATGTGTTGGGAAGCCCAACAGGCCGGGTAGTGCTTGCACTCAAACCTTGACCTAGTAACAAGATTGCAGTATCATATCTCACAAAACCCAATCTAAAAATCAAGGCCCCTGTATATTAGAGTGTTTGATTGTGCTGACGTACCTTGCATGGTCGCGCCTTCAGCTTTTCGTCCGCCAAGGATCAGACCAGCGAACAGGCAAAGTGCGCTTTGTCCACAAACCCTGTGCAGGTTTGAGTTTCAGAGAAAGACTGGATAGATGTTTCGAGACTTTTAGGGTTTAGTAGTCACAGTCACAGGTTTAGGGAACCCTGAACCGGGTTTCGGGGGGCTTGTGACTTCAAGTCCTGAGGCTCCGAAGGCTTAGCTATTCCCTGCGCACTAGGCCCAACCCAAACCCCACACCGTAAACACCAAACCCTAAACCAAACCGACTGGAGCCGACTGTAGACTGTAGACCTCATCCTAGGACATTGACGAGGCTTGTGATGCACACTAGGCTTTGTGGTTCATCTCGGGTCGTGGAATTCGTCTAGCTTCAGTTAGACCCTCATACTGGTGGCAAGGATTGGCAGTTCGTGGCATTGCTATTCGGGATGGAGGTGTGGCATACTGACTTATGATGGGCCCTACTGAAGTGTGGACCGGTATGGAGCTGTGGCATAACCTGGCCCGAGGTCCTATTCTCTGTTAAAGGTGCTTCCAATGAAGCCGACAAACTCTCCAAACCCCAACCCGAAGCCCCAAATGCGAAAAGGCTCCCACATCCAAGCTTCGAAAGCCTCTCTCCGCACGAGCGCTGGGGGTGCGGGGTCTCACCCTAAACCCTAAACCCTAAACCCTAAACCCCAAACCCCTAAACCCTAAACCCCTAAACCCCTAAACCCCTAAACCCTAAACCCCTAAACCCCTAAACCCCCAAACCCCTAAGCCCTAAAGTCTCACCGGAAGCTCCATGGGGCCCTGAAACTACTGAAAGCCCTCAGCTGCCGACCCAAATCCTAAACACGACACCCAGAGAAGCCCCCGATAGACTTACCTTTGGTTCGTAGGGAATGGAAGAATGGTAGTAATAGTAGTTACAATTCTACCCCATTCCTCCATTCCCTACTAACCAAGGGTAAGTAGAACCTTGAATAGAACTCTTGTAAGAGCGACCGAAGCCCTCAAACTTGCTCCATGGGCTTCGACAGGCACTCCGGGCGCTGGATGTGTCGGGTGCTGGCCAGGCCCACCCTTTGGGGTATCTAGGGTTTAGGGCTTCAAAACCCCTATTCTAATTGTTAAGGCCCCTATATTATAGTACCCTTATAGTAGCCCTTATATGTGCCAGCATCCGCCGACCCCCCCCCCCTCCCCCCCCCCCCCCATGGTAATCCCCCTTCCCCCCCCCCCCCCCCCCCCCCCCCCCCTGTGGTTCCTGTGGTTCCCCCCCCCCCCTGTGGTTCCTCTTGGTTTTCCCCCTCCCTTTTGTGGTTCTTCTGGTTCCTGTCTCCCCCCTCCCCCCCTGTGGTTCCTGTGGTTCCTCCGCGTGGTTGCTGCTGCTTTGTTGTTGCTGCTGTTCTTCTTCTTGTTCTTGTTCTTGTTCTTGTTCTTGTTGTGTGGTCGCCGGGCTCGGGGGGGGGGGATACCATGGGGGGGGGGGGGGGGGGTCGAGAACGCGGAGCGCGGGCACATATAGACCCCTTTCGAGGGGCCCAGGGCCTAGGGTTTCGGATATAGGGACTACGGGGTTGGGATGAAGGAATCGTAAGTCTTCGTCGTGCTCTCCTCTCCCTCGCGCCTAGGCTTCCGCTGACGATTTGTGTCAGAGCATGTTTAGGATGGAGAGGGTTTGCAGTCACGTATGAGTCTTTGCCAGTGACCGTAGATACCCTACACCCTCTTCATCGCCGGGTGCGTGGACCTCGTTGACGACAAGCTGGATCACATGCTTTGGAAGGCACTTCAAGGGTGCAACCTGCTGCGGGCAAGTGCGGAGGTCTCATCTTCGTCTTGGTTTCAGCGTTGCTTCCACGACTTTACGAAGCATGATTAACTACGCTGCTGTTAAATCAGGCATTTCTACTGCAAGGATCCGTGTGGTTATCTTTGAGGATACTTCGTGCGGCAGCTCTTCTCCTTCTTCCTGCTTCCCAGTACATCCCAACTTCCCAGGTATTTGGCATGGTCGACGAAGACTGCAGTGGAGAGATGGAGACGGTTGTGCTCGACTTCAGCACGAGGGCTCTTGATGAAGGGGAAGTACGAGGATAAGACGCAATTTGGGGCAACTTAGAGGGACTGAACACTCTTTTGTGGCTCCTTGTGAGATTATTATGCCCGCATAGATCTCATTCATTAAGCCCTCTTCAACACCCTAAATGTCCCCTACAGCCGAAACCCTAAATTCAGCCCTAAGCCCTAAACCCTAAACCCTTTAAGCCTTTCAGGAGTTTTTAGGGTTCCAGCTTCTGGTGCAGGGTATTCGTCTCCCACAAGCGGTCTTTCCCTGCGCTAACTTTGTTTAGTTACCTCTTCTTACTCAGGGTTTTTAGGGTTCAAGACTTGCTCTTGGATCTCGAATTCAGGATATACCCAAAGCTGAATTTCAAAGCCGTTCGGCGCAGAGAGGCTTAGGGGGCAAGGCTCTGTTCAGACTCCACATGAATCCCCAAAATCGATGTAGGAGGTCTGCAGGTATGCCTGTAAAATGCTGTACTCGTGAACTTCATTCCGGAAGACAGCAAAGATGATTGCACTCCATAGGCTGCTCTATGCACTCTAGGACCAGTAAGGGTTTAGGGTTTAGGGTTTTAGGGGCTTTGGGTTAGAGGTATTGGAATGCTGCTTTTTTGCTCAAGAAGTTCCTTTTCAACATTGGCCATGTTCAAGCGCCCGGCCGCAGAATGCGGACGTTGTTGGCTGCTTCTCTCTTGCTACGCGCCTCATAAGGCTTTGAGCCATTTTGGGTTTGGGAAAGTTTCGGGGTTTGGGGAAGTTTGGGGATTTGTGGGTTTAGGGGTTCCAGGAAGTTTGCTTAGGGAAGCTTAGGTGAGGTGGAGGTTTGGGAGGTTAGCGGTTTAGAGTAGTTTAGGGTTTCAATGGGGTTTCGGGGGTTGGGGGAGTTTGGGGGTTGGTGAATCTCCACCATGGGACTTCACGGTGCCTCTTGACCTACCAGGTTTCAAAGCTGCAAGGTCCAGCAAGGTCCAGGTTGAGCCGGCTGCCCCAAAAATGTCGGCGACCTGCTCCGTAGCCCCATGAAATCCTGCTGCCACGTCTGCATTGCAACATAGACCGTCCTCCCAAACCCTTATCCCTGTACCATACTCCTTAAACCCTAAACCCTGAATTAAAAAAACCCAGAATCACTAACCCCGAACCTTGAACCGTCATTGTGAGTTCGACCTCCCAGGTGGATGGTCGCTGCGGAAGACGTGGAGCTCGCCCACCTGAAAGTTGCTCTACAAATACAGGGCCATATAGGGGCACAATTTCCTATACTATTATGGGGGGTTCCTTATTATGATCCTAATATAATACACTCCAAAATGAGGGTCTTCACCATAACCTATACTATAATGGGGGGTTCCTTATTATAATCAAAGTATAACGAACCCCAAAACCCCTCTTCGAATTATTAAGGCCCATGTAGTACAGAGGGCTCCAATTCAGCCTGCGGGAGAGAGCGGTTTAGGGTTAAGGGTTGAGGGTTTCTTTCTTGTGGGAAGCTTGACGGGGTGAGATGAGCTTCAGATGTTTTGAATAGAGGCTTGCAGTGTAATGTGCTTGAATTATTTATAGCGACGGTAAGGGAAGTTGATTATGTACTACTTTTGCAGGCCGCTATACTATGCGCTAGCAACCTCAGAATTTGCGGTGATTGCGCAGTGTTGCTGGTATATTTTTGCTAGTTCCCTCAGCCGCAAACTTTTCTTTTGGTCGGATTTGGGCTCCTGTGGCTGCAGATTTCGGGGTTTTGGGAACTGTGGAGTGTCAGGGACGGTTTGAGAGCCCACGTCCTTGCCATGTGCCCCTGCCTGGTCACTTATACATTTCTGTCGTCTTTCTTATTACCTCTCCCCAAAACCCAAAACCGTAAGCCCCAAACCGTATACTTCACTAGCGGAATTGGATCCATATCCCGAGTCCACACCCTTTGCCCACACCCGAAACCCGAAAGCTCAAGGAGCCTCAAAAACAAATCCTAAACCCTAAACCCCTAAACCCTACACCCCTAAACCCTAAACCCTAAACCCTAAAAGGAATCTGATGGAGGAACCTTGGGACTTCATTAGGGTTCTTACTATGGGTGGTTGTTGTCAAAATTATGGTCCCTTTTTGGGTACCCTAGATATTAGGTGCCGTATTATATTAGGGACCACAAAGGGATCCTATTTTTGACAACCACCCATGTGAATCCAAATATTTTGGGGTTACAGGCCCAGGGTTTCTTAGTCAGGTTCCTGCATTACGCTCAAATGCAAGTCAACCGGGATTCATGCAATCGTACCGCCTGCTCTCTAGGGTTTAGGGTACAGGGAGTGTTCGTTTGGTAAGGGCTGCCGATATACTTTAGTATGCCTCAGTCTGATGATCTGGGCCACCAGACTAGCTACTACATAAAGCCTAGGCCTACCAGCCACCATCAACACTACGCCCGGTAGCACAACCAAAACACCATATCCCAACCCAAAGCTCTAAACCCGAAACAACCCGAAATGCTCAACTGAGGAAGAGTTCCAGGCAATCAAATCAGAGTTGCGGGATCGGCTACAAGCCCTCGATGCCGGCCGCAAATTGCAGGCAGAGGAGGACTGGTTTAAGGTTTAGTAGTTTACGACTGAGGCTAGGGCTGAAGGTGAAGTGTTCACGCCTACATGGTGTGTATTGCAAGGTATGAGACGGCCGTTTCAGTTTGGTATTCGGCATTGTTTGTTTGCAATGTGTGCGTGTGCATAATTTTACATATATGTATACACTTACAAGCATACATACATACAGATACGAATATACTAAGGTACATAGTTATGTCTGTATGTATGCAAGTATTTGTGTGCATGTGTGTGTGTGTGTATATATATATATATGTATATATATGGGGCGTGTTCGACATCAGCTAACATGTCCTGTTGTGCTTTGAGTTTCGTTGTTGCTGGACTGCGATGATCGCCGTAGTGTGCTCGTTCTGAGTGTGTACAGTGTACGCACTCCATGCAATTTTAGTGTCTTTTCCCGTCAGGTTATATAGGCTGCAGCTATGTCGTCATGGAGGCACGCAACTTCTACGGAGCTACGTACATACACATCATGACACCCATCTATGCTATGCTTTGCTCGACTTCTGTCGTGGGCTCCAGCTTTTTGTGCTGCTGTGGTGCGTTGCTTGCTTGAGCCTAGTTCATACTGTTCTCGCCATGCTGAAATCTTGTGTGTGGACAGGGTAGCCCAGTTTCCTGTTGTTCTATCTGACTCTAGTCGGTTATGCTTTGCCATGCTGCCTTCCAGACTGCATCTGACTTTGCCCATATCGTGTTACATGTTCGTAAACATGTGCGATGTCTTGCGATGTCTGACTTACTATGCTATGCTTTGCTGTGCACATATAGGCTACACGGTATGTCACTACGCTTGATGTATTGTGCTATCTTGAGCGCGGTTTGGGTGCTAGAGCTTCATGGCAGCTTACATGTGAGCTGTTCCGCAAAGTTCGGTAGACCCACTTGAGGCAGAACATGTGTTAGTCGCAAATAATCGTCGCTGGTACACACAGTGGTCTAAGAAACCCTAACACTAAGCCCCAAACTCTGCAGCTTCTGCAGATAGCAAGCCTGGGACCCGGGAGCTGCCACACGAGCAGGACATGCCATCCGCGGTGGTTGAGCGGCTGTCGTCGGAGTATGAAGAGCTGCACAAGTTCGATGATAGCATATCGCGGGTCTTGGACAACCTATGGTTGTTGATCTGCGGCACACTCTTGATGTTGCCGGGCACACATACATAGGAGCTGTTCGTTTTTGGGAGTTAGTGCGGTTTTCCACCAGCCTGAGAAGAAAACCAGGTACATGCATGTCGGCTTTGCTCTGGTAGAGACGGGCACTTGCCGAGCCGTCAGTGCTTCTGACACGCTGGTGAAAAATGTTCTGGGCCTCTGTGCGAGCACAGTTGGGTGGTGGTCTCTGGGCAGTGGACTGGCCAGAGGTCGGAGGTTCAAACCACCCTAAACTATGGAAGGCGGGACCCTAAACCTTAAGCCCTAAGCCCTGAAAACCCTCAAACTTTAAACTCTAGTAAATTGAGGCGCCAGCTTTAAGAAGCTTCCAGGTGAGCTGTTTGGAGGTTTCTTGGGCACCAGTGGCTTCTTCGGATCCGACTTAGTCGTGCCGAGCCCTACCGGGCTCGCGGCTGTCTGGACCTGCAAATCAGGGGGCTGCCCTACGACACTGTCCGTCTGGTTCTTCGATTGGGCTTCTAGGTCCAAGATCGTGACTGGATACTCTAATCCCTAAGCTCTGAACCCCGTTGAACCATAAACCTTCGGTCAAAAGCTCTCAACCCTACGCTCTGACCGCTGAGCCCAACATAATAGACCCTGATCCATGAATCAGGGCCCCAAACCCTAAGCCCAGGCTTGTTGCAGCACGTGTTGCACCATCGTCTCTGGTGCTGTGCTGGAGCGTGCCCGAAGTTCGACCTATGCAGTCGCTCGTTGTTAGTGTGGGTTTGCTTTTTGTTGTTGAATTTGGTTTGCTCAATTTAGTCTGTGTCTTTGTGGGCATTTCTGATTCCGTGACAGTGTATTAACGTGTCCCGCCCCCACTTGAAGTTTAGGGCTTAGGGCTGAGGGCCTACATAAAAGTTAAACGACGTAATTATGGTCAAAAATGCAGATATATGCATATATACACTGATAGCGAACACACACAAACATAGATATGTGAGTAAATCAATCAGTCAGTCAGTCGGTCCCTCGGTGAGTCAATCCATCAATCAACCAAGCAGTCAATCCACCATTCAATTAAGCAATCCATCAATCAGTCGATCAGTCAATCAGTCAATCAATCAATCAATTAATATCAATACCGATCAATCATTCAATTAACCAGCTTCTAAATCAATCGACCAACCAACCACTCCATCAATCAATCCATCGATCGGTTAATCAACCAACCCATCAATCAATCGGTCAATCAACGAACCAACCGACCAACCAACCAACCAACCAACCAACCAATGCACCGTCCACTTACTCGGTCAGTAATGAATCAGCCAATCAATCAACCAATTTATCAATTACCCAATCAGCCAATCAATGTCAATGTCAATGTCAATCAATCAATCAATCAGTCAGTCAATCAATCAATCAACCAATCAACCAATCAACCAATCAACCAATCAATCAATCAATCAACCAACCAATCAATCAATCAGTCAATCAATCAATCAATCAATCAATCAACCAACCGTTCACTCACTCAGTCCGTTAATCGACCAACCAATCAGTCAACCAATCTATCTATCTATCGACCAACCAATCAAGCAACCAGTCAATCAATCAATACTCAGATACATATATTCTTATATTTACACATAATTCGAGTCACAACATGTGAAAGCTAGATACACACAAAACTATGTATATACACACGCACAGACGTGCTTCGGATTAAGGATGCACACACCCACCGCGGGTGCACGTATGTATGCATGCACGTTTCTTACAAAGTCAACATCATTATGTTGCGCCCAAGGGGGAGTACCGAAAAAAAAGGGTCGCCGACCCCCCTGAACGAGAGGTCTTTGCCTTCCTCCTCTCTGGCGTAGTCTACCCCGTGGTGGTGGCCTGGACTTGGGGAGGGGGCTGGCTCTCTGACTTCCTGGAGGCACATTGGGATTCAGTGTTTTTTTTGGGGTGTAGGGTAGGTTAGCAGGGGGTAGGGTGTGGGGTATGGGGTTTCGGAATAAACAGGATCGGGCTTTGAGGTACATTATGACCGTATCATCATTTTCTGGGAGGCTATGTCATAGATTGTTCAATCTATGAGGTCTTTGTGAGTGTTTATAGGGCTGCATTTACGAATTGGTGAGTGTATACATATGGACTACTTCATATGGGTCATAATATAGGTTTAACATTGAAGGGTGTAGGGCATAGAAAATCAGGCATCGGGGCTGTTGAGTCCAGTTTAAGCCTCAGTTTCGAAGGTTTGGGGACCAAAGCCTGACGCTATAACCCGTAACCCGAACCCTAAAACCGAAACCCTAAACCTTAACCCTAAACCCTAAACCTTTACCTAAACCCTAAACCCTAAACCTTAACCCTAAAACCTTAACCCTAGACCCTTAACCCTCAACCCTAAACCTTAACCCGAGACCCTAATCCGAAACCTGCGCTAGTCAAGCCTTCATTGCACAGGCTGAACTTCTAAATCCCCAAAAGCCCCGGGTCCGTACGGGTATCTCGCCTGCATCGTCGACAGTGACTGCTTGCATAATCCCCTAAACCCCGAGACCCGAAACCGCATAAGAGAGGGGTCGATACGATTTGTAATGACTTTCCCTTATGGTCTCCAGTTTAAGCACTCACAGTATACCTCAAAGCCCTCTTCCAATCATTGAGGCCTCAGAGTGGTGCTTCAGGGTTCAGGGGATTCGGAGGTTGAGGTGACGGTGTTCATATGTTCAAGCACGGTGGGGGCAGGTTCAATACTTGTGTTTTGGGACAACCAGCTCCGTGGCAGGCACCCCTGACGTGTGAAGCAGAATGTGGTGGGAGAAATGGTTTGAAATAGCCAATTGTGTCCCAGTATAGCTCCCTTCTAGTTGTAGTGTTTTGAATTTTGTAAGATAATATTCCCCCCTCCCAATATCCTACAGGTGGGCTTCTCTTCGTAGTGTCGTAGGGCTTCACGCACTTATTGTTTTGGTCTGAAGTCGATAATAATAATGTTCCGGATCACTGTCCGATTTGCTGAAGCTGAGGCCCTGAACCCCCAATCCCAAAACCCCCACAGCCTACCAGCGACTGCTAGAATATGCTAGATCCCCTCTGCTGCGAAGGTAGGTTACACGGACTTTGCCGGGGGGTGTGTGGTCCACGTGCTTGGCGGATCCTTGTCTCCTTGATTTAGGTGTCACGATCCAGGGTTTAGGGTGTCGAACCGAACCCGTACAAGCCTAAAGAAAAAAAGGTGCCGGTAGAGCAGTTTCACCCAAACCCTATCGTAAACCACAGGGCTCAGAGGGGTTGCGGCACACCTCCGTTGGTTCGCTTTTCAGTGATTCCTTCATTGCTGGCTGATCAAGAAGCATGCCTCTTTCTTTTCTTTGCAGACTCCCAGTGATGTACCTGCACCCTAAGTGCGAAACCAGGCCTTGTTCAGTCGGGGCAGCGAATGCTTTCCCCATCTTCGTTTCGAAATGGTTAATGTTTTAGGCTCTAGTCACTTCAGCCGTGAAGCCGAACACACATGTACCCAGCCTGCCAGCAAAGCCAAAACAAAAGAATCCACATTTTCCGCTTGCCAACCCCGCCTGACCAACGGAGGATCTGGTGCTCTCATGGGGGCCGTCCTCATGGGCTCCAGACACGACCGCTTTGAGCGACCGCATGCTTCTGTTCTCACAAGTTAATGTTGTGTTACCCAAAGGGTCCAAGTATGATTATGGTATATACTTAAACCCCCTCAAAATACCCTATAAGTATATACCACAATGATACTTGGACCCTTTGTGTTAGGACTTGGGAAGGAGCAACGGCTACTTAGTCAGTGTGCGTGGTGTTTCAGACTTGAGATTCAGCTCGATCTCTTAGTCCTAAGCCGAAGGAAGCACTGGAAATAGAGTGTTCAGTGTAAAGGTTTGCAGGGTATGGGTCCAGAAGGTTCAGGGAGTAGGGCCCAAGCCTTAAACGTCGAACCCTTAGGATTTTCGCTCGGAAGGTCGAGGGTTTGGAGTTTATTGGCCGAAACTACAAGCTCCATAGGTTTTTTAAAAGCCTAAAACCTATGTTTTTTTTTTAAACTTACCTCTTAGGACACGACATGCAAGGATATCCACGTTAAGCCTGACATGAGCCTTCGACCTTAAAGCAAGCATGGGGTTTAGGGTTGAGGGTTGAGGGTTTAGGGATGAATGCTAACCCTATGCCTTCCTATGGCAAAGCACCAAGTCACCAAGACTTGGAAGTCAGAAAGAATCGAATTGTCCGGCTGCCCTCAGACGCGCCTCCAAAATAGGGGACCCTAATAGTACCCTAAATAATAGGATCCTTATTACAAGGGCCTAAAGTAAGGTACCCCTCTTTCCAGTCCCAGGCCTTCGATCCTCACAACCTTCCACTCTTGGTCCTCGGCACACTCTTCCTTTGGGTAGGCTGGTGCCTCGCTTGCAGTGTGATTTTGGGGTTTAAGCTTTTAGAGGGGTGTGTGGGTTCCTTCAGCCCTGCTTGGTCGGGTCCACGGCATAGATGTGATAGGGCTCGAAACACCGCAAGATTACTCCATAATTGCGGGCTTCTCTGGCTTCCTCATGGTTGTACGGTTTAGGCAGTAGGGTTCTTCAGGCTGAGGTTTAGGGATGGACAGGCAAAAGCCCAGAATGTGCTTCACAAGCTACTGCATACCCCGAGCGCCCCAACCCCCCTCATCAAACGTCCCAAACACATACCCCACCCCATAACGCCATCAACTGTACAACCGACAGGGACCCCTGAAGCCACTCTTCCCAAGACCGTGGAGGCCAAACCCTCGAGAAAGTGAGCCCGGGCGCACCTAGTTCCTAAACCCTAAACTCTATAAACCCGGAGCCCTACACCCCTGATGCCTAAACCCTTTCCCAAAACCCTACAGAAAGGGCTGCCCATGTCTCTAACCCTTTCCCTCAATCCCCAGACCCCTCAACCCCTCAACCCTTCAACCCCAAAACCCCTAAACCTTGAATCCCTCAACCCCAAAACCCTAACCCACCCCCAAAACCCACAAAATCCTTGAAAACTCCTAAACTCTCCAAACCCTAAACCCCAAAATCCTTCAACTCCTAAACCCCTGAATCCCTCAACCCCTAAACCCCTAAACCCCTAAACCCCTAAACCGCCGCCTCAACCCTTAAACCCCCAAAGCCCCTCAAACCCCCAGAACCCCAAAACCCCTAAATCCCTCTAAATTCCTCAACCCCCAAACCCCTAAACCCCCAACCACCCCCCAAAACCCAAGAAACTCGTCCCAGGCTCACCTTCAACATGGGCTCAGTGGGCTCCATGCACCCTGCTTTTTTTGGGGGGGGGGTTTCGGATTATAGGGTTTAGGGGTTAGAGGGTTTAGGGTTTAGGCGTTGAGGGTTTAGGGTTTAGGGGTTGAGGGTTTAGGGTTTCGGATTTATAATGCTGTGGGTTTAGGGTTGAGGGTTTAGCCCTTGTGGCTCACAGCCTAGGGTTTGGCTTTGCGTTGGTAGGGTTTTGAAATCGCCAGGCACGCGATTTTGGGGTTTAGGATGTTGCAGCTGCATGTTAGATTTGAAGGGCTAATACAGGTGGTGGCAGTGAGTAAAGCTGTGAGTCGTAGCAGTAGCAGTAGCAGTAGTATTAAGCAGTAGAAGTACTGGTAGTAGTAGTAGTAGTAGTAGTAGTAGTAGTAGTAGTAGTAGTAGTAGTAGTAGTAGTAGTAGTAGTAGTAGTAGTAGTAGTAGTAGTAGTAGTAGAAGCAGCAGCAGCAGCAGCAGGAGTAGTAGTAGTAGTAGTAGCAGTAGTAGTACTAGTAGCAGCAATTAATTAGTAAAGTATTAGTTGAATAATAGTAGTACGAGTCGTCGTCGTAGCAGTAGCGGGAGTAAGAGTAGGAGTAGTCATCGCCACGGCCGTCGCGTTGCCCTTTTGAACCTGGAGCGCCCTCCCCTTTGATCTCCAAGCTCTAGACTTATGCGTAGTACCGAGAACCGCATGACCATGATAACGTGCTGATTCTTCTACTGCTTCGGCTGAACGCTCTCCCCGTGCACTACTTCCGAAGTCTTAAATCAAGAATCCTTAGATCTCAAACCGAAGCCGTTGAATTATACGTAAGATTTCTCCATGTTTCTCCGTATGTCAGTCCTATAATGCATGCCCGCCCGACACTATTTTCAGTTTCAAGACCGATGTCGGCATCGATAATATATATATATATATATATATATATATATGTATATAATGTAGATATGTTCCTGGGCCAGAGGCACGATGCCACTTCTGCGGCCTTGGCAGCCCAGATAGCGGTGAACACCACCCTCGCTGGATCCAGCGGTGGTCTGGTCGTGCTTCCTGATGGGTGATGGGCCAAACCCTAAACCTTATTCCCTAAACCTTAAACCCTAAACCTCAAACCCTAAACCTTAAGCCTTAAACCTTCGACCCCAAATCCAAAATTCAGGGATTAGTTTCGGGCTGTTTGTTCGAAGGAGCCGGGCCCCAGAAAGTCTGTAGATTGGATTATACGGTACATGATCAATGAAATACAGCATATTCTCACGCGGTACAACCTACTTGATAAGGCATGTTTATGATCTATATCACCATGAAATATTGTACAGTATATTACATTTTTCTTCGATAAAGTCCAACACATCATGCAGTGTAGAAAATGGCCATGTAACATACAGTGCTTAACCTTTAATGTGAAATCTTATATCACGCAGTTACAGGATAGCATGAAATTTCTTCCAGGTAGTAGATGGTTCTTTAGATCAACATTTAATGTTCTGTGTTTACATATTGTATTTAGGTCAGCACATATTTAAAATATAGCTTGTAACATAGTACAAACAAGACATGACACTGATTGCATCATACCTAAACAAGTATATGTACACAAGTACACACGTACATACATGTATGTACACATGTACATGGTACAACATTTTCCTGACATGGGACACATAGTCTGAGATATGTAGCAGATCGTGTGTAGTGTATACTGTAAGACGCACAAACCCAAAGCCCTTGAAACTGAGGTTCCTGTTCCGCTTCATCACGACAGGAAAGTATGATGTGGTGGGCTTGTGTAATGGAATATTGGCTGGTGCAGTCTCCGTGACAGCTGGTTGCGGCAACGTGCACGCCTCCAGTGCTTTAGCCATGGCTTCAATCGGAGGTCTCGTCTACTGTGGCTTTTCGCGGCTCTTGCGGAAGATGCGAATCGACGATCCTGTGGATGCAAGTGCGGTCCATGGTGCCTGCGGGGTCTGGGGCTCACTGGCAGCAGCACTTTTCGACTGGGGAGGCTTTGAGAACTACCATGGTCGGAATGGCTGGAGGTGTCTATCAGCCGGTTCACGGGATGACGGGGCCTGCCTGGAAGGAGCTTTTGCTAAGGCCATGCTAGTACAGCTCCTCTTTCTCTCTTCTGTGATAGCTTGGACCTCACTGTGGTCCTTCCTTTTTTTTAAACTCTTGATCCACGTTGCTGGCTTCCGGATTGAAGACAGCATCGAGGAGGCTGGGTTGGATTCGGCCGAGTTGGCCCAGAAGAAAGCTTACTCCCTACAGGAACGGGAGAGTCCCAACTCCTGGCGAGTCTTGTGGTCCTAGGTTGCAGGGTTTAGAGTGTCAAGGTTTTGTTGGACAGAGCTATCTTGTGCATGCACCGACCACAAACGGCAGAATTTACCGACGTTTTGCTGCAAATTCGAGATGCATGGCAAAGTTTGAAATGAAAGCCTCGCGGTCTCTGCCTATGCAGGCCTAGACCCTAGCACGTAGTACCTGTCGCTGCAGATCCTATTTGTCTTGTAAGGATCCAAAACATACGAAACTAAGGCAACCGGAAGAAGGTACTGCAGTTTAGGGTCTCCTTGAGACATTGAGGCCCCTTTCAACCTTCTTGAAGCGATCCTGGGATGGTGATTGTCTCAGGTGCAGCCTCTGCTGAGCCCGACGAACAGGTCCAAACCCTACACATGCAGCTCGAACTAAACTCCAAACCTAAGCCCGAAACTCGAAAACCCAAACCCTAAATCGAAAGCCTCGCCAAAACCAGCTTGATCTCCTGCTTACGCTGGGCATCCGAAGCCTATAAACATCAAATAACCCTGAACCTACAGCCAGCTGTTCGCTTTCGTCTTGTAACACAGGAGCCTGAATCATGTGCCTGAGGGTTCCTGAATTTTTGAGTTGTTCTATCCTCAAGCCCTATTCTGATTATTAAGGCCCACAGGTCTTGAAACGCTTTATACGAACCTTAAAGGAATCCAGTTCGAATCGTCTTTGCGCGGATCTGGTTCTCCAGAGGCGATCAGAGAATTCCCGGAGGCTCTTTGGCTTTGCATATGGCTTTACTTTGTAGCTAAGGTTCACGGTTTACGGTTTGGGGTCTCGGGTTTTGATGCAGGTTTAGGGCTTAGAGCAATATACCCGTCTGGTTCATGTTTAGCTATGGTTCGATCTCGCATTCATTACTACCCCGTACAAGCCCCACAACAGTAAGAAGACTCGAACGCAACAAGCAGTAGTAGTGACGAAGATAATCGTACCAACCATATAGTATTAGCAACAATCGCAATAACAATAACAACAGCAGTGTTAATAGTGATTACAACAGTAATTAATGACGACAATAGGAGCCAAACATGGTCAAAGTAGTAGTGGTAGTAGTAGCAATAGTAGTAGTAGTAGTAGTAGTAGTAGTAGTAGTAGTAGTAGTAGTAGTAGTAGTAGTAGTAGTAGTAGTAGTAGTAGTAGTAGTAGTAGTAGTAGTAGTAGTAGTAGTAGTAGTAGTAGTAGTAGTAGTAGTAGTAGTAGTAGTAGCAGTAGTAGTAGTAGTAGTAGTAGTAGTAGTAGTAGTAGTAGTAGTAGTGTAGTAGTAGTATAGTATAGTAGTAGTAGTAGTAGTAGTAGTAGTAGTAGTAGTAGTAGTAGTAGTAGTAGTAGTAGTAGTAGTAGTAGTAGTAGTAGTAGTAGTAGTAGTAGTAGTAGTAGTAGTAGTAGTAGTAGTAGTAGTAGTAGTAGTAGTAGTAGTAGTAGTAGTAGTAGTAGTAGTAGTAGTAGTAGCTAGGAGTAGTAGTAGTAGTAGTAGTAGTAGTAGTAGTAGTAGTAGTAGTAGTAGTAGTAGTAGTAGTAGTGTAGTAGTAGTAGTAGTAGTAGTAGTAGTGTAGTAGTGGTAGTGGTAGTAGTAGTAGTAGGTAGTAGTAGTAGTAGTAGTAGTAGTAGTAGTAGTAGTAGTAGTAGTAGTAGTAGTAGTAGTAGTAGTAGTAGTAGTAGTAGTAGTAGTAGTAGTAGTAGTAGTAGTAGTAGTAGTAGTAGTAGTAGTAGTAGTAGTAGTAGTAGTAGTAGGAGTAGTAGTAGGAGTAGGAGTAGGAGTAGGAGTAGGAGTAGGAGTAGGAGTAGTAGTAGTAGTAGTAGCAGGAGAAGCAACTTTTTGTACTCCCTTCAGCTATGGTATCGTCACCACTTACTAATAAAAGAGCATCCGACACCCGCCCCAGCGCTGACGTCGAAGACGCAGTGCCGGATCATTGCCTGCAGTTGCGGCTGCAAAGGTTTCCGATTTGGGACTTGCGGTTTAAGCCTTATATGCCCCAAAACCCGAAGCCCTAAACCCTAAACCCCAAATCGGGTGAACCGGCATGCCGGATCAAAGCTTTGCGCATGGCGGTAACGTGCTTTCGTTTGCTTGAGGCGCTTCCTAAACAGGGCTTCAGGTTTCGGGCTTTGGCTTCGGTTGTAATGTAGAGGTCTGAACAAGTGGTATTACTACTCCTTCAACCTCCTTATGATTTTTGCATCCCAAGCCCTGTTTTATAGAACCCTTACATAGCCCCTGCAGCAGGTTTCTGAGTGCCTGAGCTTGGGTGCGGGGCCAGGATTTCAGGGTTCCGTGGCTCTTCTCGGCCAGAAAGTCAGAACAGGAGTTAGGGTGCATTATGGTATGGCTATAATGGGGAACCCAAAGGACCAGGATTGGAGGTACGAATTAGCTAGGCTTTCTTGTTTAGGATCTGGGGTCGCCAAGCCTCCTGACGACGGCGGCGACGACGACGGCGGTATCAACCCGGTGCAGGGTGTAGTGCAACGGTTCAAGTTTTCTTTGCATGCTTATGTAGATGTATCGGAGATTCCACGCCTCGACCGGACACTGTGGTTTGAAAATCTTAGGCATTTCCATGTATTAGAGGTTGCCATACCCAGTGCACGCGTCCATCTTGGTTCAGATCCCGGACTCTTGAGCCTGCGAGCTGTTGCTGACGCAAAGGTGCCCCAGTCTAGAACGACTCCATGTTTCCGGAGTTTGGATTTAGAAGGTCTAGGACTGCTAATTTCTCATATTCTTTATGTTTGATGGGGAAAGTAGCTATTTTCAACATCTTCAGGGTATCCGAGCAGAAACCGTGGGTGAGTCCCAACACAACCCAGAACCCCAGCCGAAGGCAAACGAAAGGTTCCCAAAAGGTCCATGGCAAACTGTCGAGGGGAGTTCCAACAATGAGTGGTACCTTATTTTGGCGCCCGTATAGTAAGGATCCTATTATTTAGAGTGCTACATTAGGGTTCCCTATTTTCGGAAACTCCCAAATGTAGAGGCCTTAATAAATCAGAATAGGGCTTTGCCCGAGTTTTCGAAGGGGTGCTTTAAGGGCTTTGTCGAGTATGAAGCCCAGTAGACCTTGGAGAAAATTGCCACCATCTACAGAAAGCGGAAAGCTCCCACTGGCTGGGGGAAATTGAGAAACCCCCATGTGCCACAATGCGATGGCTGGAACTCTTCGCCTCTGTCAGCGTCAGCCGCGCCGGCTCTGTGCTGAACTCAGTTCGATGGAGGTTGGACTGAGGGTTGATAGGGTTTGCGTTTAGGATTTCGGGTTTGGGGCTTTGGGTTTGGGGTTTAGGGTATAGGGTTTAGGGTATAGGGCTTGGGTTTAGGGTTAGGGTTTAGGGTCTTTTGGGGGGGGCAGGGAGAGGGGTAGGGGACTATACTTCCTTAAACAGGCTTCAATATGATAGGTATTAAGGCCCCCAACCCCCCTGAAATTTCCTTATGGTTTGAGGGCATTGGGTTGGGTTTAGGGTTTTGCACTCGGTGCTCCAGTGCTAGGAGGTCTAGTGGTAAGTATGTGCACTTTAAATTTAGGGCTGAGGGCTTTGGGGTTTTGGCTTTTTGTGGGGTTTAGGGATTTTTCTGGCAGGGGCTACGAGCCTTGTCTCTCTAGTAAAGCTGCTTTTATGGACTCTAATGACGTTACTCTCTTCAACATAATGAAAGTCAATTCGGGCTGTCACTATGATTAGCAGTAAGTTGAAACCAGGCAATTCAAACCCTGAACCCTACCGAAGCCCCCAGATTATGAACCCCAACCGGTGCATCGAAACCCTAGCATCAAGCCTAAAGACCTGGCATCGCAAGTGTGAGCTGAGGCCCCCCATGCGTCCATCATGGAGGAGGCGCCCGGCAAGCTTCAGTTTGGGTTTCAGCAATGCTCTTTTGACTGAAGACTGCCATTATAGGATACAAATCATATGGGTGGTTGTCAAAGTTATGGTGCCTTTTTGGTTACGTATTATACTACGGCACCTAATATTTAGGGTACCCAAAGGGGCCATATTTTTAACAACTACCCCTTTGCGAAAGACCCTCGAAGCAAAGCCTGCACCCGAACCCTGCAGCTTCTGCAACTGCGCGACTTCGACGAGCGGCAGCGTCATGCGACACTGGTCTCTCTAGCTGCACCCTCAGTCGTCGCGTCGAGACGTTTCGCTTTGAACAAGTAGGCCAAAACCCATGAACTCTAAACCACCATGCCCAGACACTAATGTAGGAACCTGATTAAGAGACCTTGGGCCTTTATTAGGGTTCCTGATATGAATCCCACTGTTTTCGGGTTTTAGGCCCAGGGTCTCTTAATCAGTTTCCGATTCCTACATGAAACCATTTAAACCCTAAATCCTGATGCCCAGGCTCGAGGATAAGGTGCTACTGGGTCGAAGAGGGGGTACAGGCTACAGGGTCTAAAGCAGAAGCCCGAGAGTTGGAACATCATTATCCCCAAGCCTTTAAGGTTTAAGGGATATGGGATCCCATAATGAATCATCCTAAGCCCATGTTCCACCTTTCTGGCTACTGCTGCAAGGTATTGTAAGGTTTTGGGGCAAGGGTTTGGGGCCCCGGGGTGAATAAAGCTTACGGCTTGGGTGCAGGGTTAAGGTTACGGCCCTTGAGCTGATAGGTAGCCAGAACGCAAACAGTGCATGTCGTCAACCAAGCAAGAGGATAGCATATGTTCCTGAGCGCCCTAAAGCCAAGCAAACCAACAACCCTGAAACCCCAAAGCCTCTAAACCCGAAACCCTAAACCCCTCCTGTGCCCCCTAAGGTCTCTATGGCGAAAATTCGTCGGCAGCTGGAGGAAGCAGGTTCGCGCATTTGGGGATACTTTGGGATTCCTCGCGGAAGGATCCCGGCGATGTTTCGGTGGGTTTGGCGGGACTTTTGTTTTTTTCGGGCTCTTGACGTTTGGGGCATGGGCCTTGGCGGTTTTTGGGTTTAGGGTTTAGGGTTTAGGGCTTAGCTTTAGAGGTTTGGGTAATCAGGGATCAGGG